GTACCGAGTCCTGGGCATCAGTCTCCCTGTCCAGGCTTGCAGGGTCACTGCAGGGTGCAAGCTGGAGAGGGGAGAGGAGTGGAGAGAGAAGCCTGAGGCCTAGGTCTCTGGCCACACCCAGGACCACCAGCAGTTCGCATACCCCTCCTCTATGGAGGGCAGCCCCAGGGCAGCACTCACAGCTCCGCACAGACTCTGACAGCCCCTCCTTGTCCAGGCTCTCTGCTGCCCAGCGGGACTCCTTCATCTATGTGGGAAAGGCACAGGGAAGGATGGGTGGGCTGGTCGGGCAGCCACAGCTCCGTGACCCAGCGCAGCCACATGTGCTCACCATGACCCTGTGTTCCCTGGCACAGCCCGGTGTGCCCACCTTGACCCTGTGCATGCCCTGGCACAGCCCGGTGTGCCCACCTTGACCCTGTGCATGCCCTGGTACAGCCCCGTGTGCCCACCTTGACCCCAGTGTGCCCTGGTGCAGCCCCATCTGCCTACCTTGACCTGTTCCTTCAGGTACTCGGCCCGAGCCATGAGACTCTGCACCTGCATAGAGGAGATAGGCTCAGGCTCAGTGATGGGGGTTGGGGGGGCTTCCCATCCAGCACCCTTTGTATCCCTACTCCGGGAAGTCCTCCTGGCTGCAGCAGCCCCTTGCTGGGCTCCCATGGCCTGACTTGAGCAACTTGTGATTGCGCCCCATCCCTGCTGACTCACCAAGCACGTGGATGTGCCAGATTTGGAGCCCCCTGAGGGTGGGGGCTCCACAGGGAAACTGAGTGTGCCCCCCCTCCCCACTGCAGACAGGAGCAGGAGCAGACCAAGCAAGGGGAAGATGAAGCCCCCAACCCTCTCAACCCAGCAGGCACCTCAGTGTGAAGCAGCTCCCGCCTCCGGCCTGGGGGCTCCGCTGCGGAGGGAGAGGGCAGCTGGTGAGGGTGGGGGCATAGTCTGGTACCCTCCATGCCCGGGGTGGGGACAGGGCGGGGCCTCACCTGCCAGCAACAGCAGCAGCTCCCCCAGGCTGTGCTGGTACAAGTCCAGGGCATCCTGCTCCCCGCCAGCTTCCTCCTCCTGCAGACACAGGGGACATCAGGGAAGTCAGGCTTGGGCCGGGGTTCCTCCACGACCCCTGCTGGGACCACCTCCCACCCCCCTCACTGGGTACAGACCTTGGCCACGGCAGCAGCAGCCACTTCCAGGGCAGCCAGGAGGCGTGGCTTGTCCCGGGCCATCTCTGGGACAAGGGACAAAGCTCGGGGTGAAGGGCATGGACCCGAATCTGCTGCTCTTGTTACCCCAAGCCGGGGAGAGGAGGGGAGGAAGCCCTACCTCGGAGCAGGTCGCGGGCGGAGGGTCCCTGGCGCAGCAGAGCCTGATTGCAGGAGGACACGATGGCTTTGAGCTCCTCGGCCCGGGACACATACTGAGCCACCTGTGGGAAGCAAGGAGCTGAGGAAGGGCTGCCAGCCCCCACCCTGCCCATTTTCCACCGCCAAGGCCTCAGCAGAACCAAACCCACGCCCAGCTGTGTCACTGAGAGGAAGCTCCGGTTCTGAACGTCACATCCTCCTTGGCCCTCTCCCTGTGCCTGCTCCCACCGGCCTGCATGGGGGACCCCTGCACCCACCTTCGCCTTGATCGCTTCCTTCCTCTGTGCATCCACCTCATCTGTGGAAGGCGTGATCGGTATGAGGTGTCTGGGACAGCAGGGTGGGGACACCAGTGCCCCACCTCCTCCCCCACAAACACCACATTCCAGATATAGGCACCCTGTTCAATCTCCCACAAAACCCACACAGGGCGCTGCCCGCTGCTCACAATGCAGGGCAGGCACGAAGAAGTCCAGAGCCTTGCAATAGAGTGACAATGCGGCCACCGCGTCCCCCTCCTGGTCCTTCTTCACAGCCTGCACCACCAGCGCACTCTGTCCAACAGGCACATGGCGTGTGGGGGTCAGGCCCAGCTTGGCCCCCTTCCTGCCCCCTCCCTACCCCATCTCCCACTTGCTCACGGCTCGGGCCAGGCTCTCCCCACTGGGCATGTGCTCCAGGTCCACCCAGGGGTGGGTGAAGAAGTCCTGGAAGGAGATGCGACGGTTGGGGTCCCGTTCCAGCAGCCGCTGCAGCAGATCCCGGCAGTCTCTGGAAAGCGGTGGCCGTAGGGGAAGCTGTTCCAGACCAGGGTGGGGGACGGGCACACATCACCCTGCGATCCCGGGCCTCCAGTCCCAGGCCCTGTGAGAACCCACGCTGGGAGGAACTAGGCAGTCCGAGGAGACGGAGCCCAGCCCTTTGGGGGGGGGGGGGTGAGTTAAACCTGATGAGGGTCCTGCTTCCCTCCCCCATCCAGGCTATGCCCTGAGGGAAGCTGGGCCCAGGTCAACTTGGCCTTCCCCATGGCCATCAGTGGGGCAGGCCCTGCACTGGCCACGCGAGCTGAGCTTGGAGCAGACCAGAGCCCACGCTGAGGTCTGCACAGGAGCAAGTCCAAGTGCACAGCAGCCTCAACAATCTTGGTGAAACCCACCTCAACTACCCGACTGCTCCGGATCTTCTCCTCCAGCTCCAAGAAGGACCTGGATGCGAAAGGCGGTTGCCCGAACAGGGCCTCTGTATATGCCAGGGAGAGGGGAAGCTGAACGGGGTGGCGGGGTCAGGCCGGGCCCCACCCATAGCTGGACAGACCCACCTCCTACCCCCCAGGTTAGCAAAATCAGGGGAAGCCCAGTAAGGTCCCACTTTGGTGGGGTGGGAGTTCAGGGGTCTCACCATACAAGATGACCCCCACGGACCACAGGTCTACACGGGCATCGTACTGCCCTCGACACACCATTTCCGGTGCCATGTAGAGGGGGGAGCCGCGTAGCACGTGTTTCTCGTCCCACGGGGACATGTGCTGTGCAAAGCCAAAGTCTGCAGACGATAGGCCAGCACACAGGGGTCAATGCCAGTGTTCCTGGCACCTGCTCACCTCCCAGGAGACCGGGCAGGAAGGAGAGAGCCTGCCCCCGGCTTGCCCTCCTCCCTTGCTTGGCCCTCCTGGGTAACCCCTTCTGGAAGCTTCTTCCCAGGAAACCCATCTGGTATTTGGACTATGGCGATACACAGGGAGGCTCTACCTCCTGGCTGACCTGTGTTCTCAAGTCAGTTCCCCCCCTCCAGCCTTCTCAGGGTCACAGCCCCCGCCTGCCTGGCCCCCTGCCTGCCCGGCCCCCACGCTGCCTAACACCTTCAGTGACACAGGCTGCACCTACTTACTGCTCTCACCCCTAACCCTGGCCTGCTTTCACAAGGAACCCCAAAACTGGACACACACACTGAGCCTTCACTCCTCCGACACTGCAGCCACTGGATGCCAGCGTGGGTACCTGAGAATGGCCCAGACAGCCCTGCCACCCACCTGCCAGCTTCAGGTGCGGCCTGTCCAAAGAGCTCAGCAGAATGTTCTGCGGCTTCAGATCCAGGTGAGAGATGTTGCGTTCATGCAGGAACTGCAGGGCGCTGGCTGAAGAGCAGGACCCAGCCAGGGAGGGCCACGTCAGAGGAGTTTGTCTCCTGCCCACCGTTCTCCTCCTGCCTGAGCTCACAGGTGCCGGCACAGGATCCGGTCAACTCTATGAGTTCTCCCAGAGTTTCTGCTTGCTGCCTCAAATCTCCTCCCCTCCTCCCACCTTTCTCACAGCATCCAGGCACTGGGGGCCCTAGGACCCGAGCTGGGCAGAAGGAATCGGACAAGTATGCTAGCCAGGGCTTCCTAGCCAGTGCCCAGGATGAAGGGCGCTCACCCAGCTGCTGCATGAAGACCCGGGCCACCTTCTCCGGCAGGATCCTGCGGGTGTGGATGAAGCGGGACAGGTCCCCGCCTGCGCAGAACTCCATGATGAGGTAGATGTTGTCGCTGTCCCACTGCGGGTGGGAGAGGAAAGGTGGGTTGAAGATTGGAGGTCTCCTTTGCCCCAGCCCCCTTTACGGGGGTAGCCCCCAGCCCAGGCCCCACCTGGAAGTCTTTTAGCTGCACGATGTGGGGGTGTCGGATGCCCTTGAGGATCTCAATTTCCGTCAGCAGGTTCTCCACTGACGCCTTGTTCAGACTTTTCTTAGCCACACACTTTATGGCCACCACCTCGCGTGTGTCCTTCTGGGGCGTGGAAGAGGGTGGACGGGGGCTTGGGACTCTGCCCACGTGCTGAAGGGGTCCTGGACCCAGGCCCGGTTAGGAGGACGGGCTTCCCCCGGCCGGACACCCTCCACCCTCCAGCTCCACAGCGACCCAGCTCGGCCAAGTCCCAGTCCCGCCTCCTCACTGGTCGCGGCCTAGACTCCGCCCAGCCCACCCGGGGCGGCCTTGGACAGGAGACCCTGCGGCTTCGGCGGCCACGGAGGCTCCAGGGCAGCCGGTGCGCGCGTTCGGTCCGAGCGCGGCCGCCGCGCCAGGGCCCGACACCCCGAGGCTCCGCGCGCACCTTGGCGTAGGCCTTGTACACCGTGGCGTACGTGCCGCTGCCCAGGCGCTCGGTGAGAATGAAGCCGTCCAGCCGCGGGGGCCCCCAGCCGGGCCCCGCCATCGCGCGCGCGCACGCCCGCCCGGTGCTCGCCCGGTTCCTGCGGGGCGCGGGGCGCGGGGCGCAATCCCCGCCGCCCCCAGCGCCGCCTGCCGGAAGTGCGCGGGGAGGACGGACGGGCGCGGCCCCGCCCTCGCAGCCGCGGGCTCCTCCCCGCTCGGGGCGGAAGTGAGCCGAGGCCAGCAGGTGCGCCCCAGCGGCTGAGGGTGCCCCCCCAGGCGCATGTGGCGCCCTGGAGCTTGCCCGCGTTCCTAAGGCCCACCCCTGCCTTCTAGTAGGAAGTATGGGGAGAAGGTGGTCTCTGGAAGAAGGCTGGAGGTCTTCCAGGGGAAGGGGCTCATCAGGGCGGAGCCTTGAGGATCGACCCCTTCACCTACCCCAGCCCGGCAGCCCCTCCACCATCCAGCACACAGGTCACGCACAGTTTACATCACGACCGGTGTTGTCAGAAAATCTTTTATTTAAGCACAAAAATTGAGACATATACATTTGTACACGGAGGAGAAAATACCAGAAAAGGAGTTTATAAAACCCGGGTGGCTCTGCTGAGCCTCCCACAGGCAGGGGTGGAAGGCTTGGGGAGAAGTTCTCTAGGAGCCCAGCTACAGAGCTGGGGGTAGGAGGAGACAGACGGGACCGAGTGTTGGTGACCCTGCCTGGGGTTCAGAAAGACTCCATACCCTGTCCTCCCAGGAGTGTGTCCCCCCTCCCTCCCCCCTTTCTGCTGCCCCAGCAGGTGGTCAGAGCTCTGGCTGCAGCTGGACCAGCCTGGCCTGGGCAGGGGGGTAGTCTGTGTGGCAACAGGTGCAGGCAGGCCTGCTGGGGGCGGGGAGGGGGGGAGCCCCAGGACCCCTGCAGGTCAACCAGCGACCCCGAGAGCTTCTGTCCCCACTGAGTCCAGAGTCCTATTGAGGCCCCGCCCAAGAAGGGAAAAACAGTTTTGTATGATTTCTTTTGCCATGTAAAAAAAAAAAAGAGAGAGAGTCCCTGTCCCTCCCGCCCCTTCCCTGGGTGGACGGGAGAGCCCATGGCCCCTCCTGGGGAGGAGGGAGAGCCGTGGTGAGACCCTCCCAACACGGCCTGTAGTGGCCGTGACCACCGCGTTAAGGCACCCACGGAAAGTGCAGCTCAGAAGGCAGGCGACAGCGAGGGCAGGGGCAGAGGGCCCAGGGCCACTGGGCTAGTTGCCCTGGAAGGCACCGCGGGCGGCGGACGAGGCGGCGCCACGGAAGGCTCTGTTGCTGAAGATGCCCTGGGAGAACTCCTCCTGGGCCTGCTGGAAGCTGGCCCCCGTCCGGCGGTACAGAGAGTGCACCTGCGGGAGAAGCAGAGGTGAGAGAAGCCTCCTCCCGGCCCACGGGGAGCCCAACCAGGCCCAACCGCCGCCCCCCACTCACCCGCTTCAGCAGGAACAGGGAAAGCACGGCACAGAGTGTGAAGAAGCCAGCCACCACCATCATGATGATGGACACAGCCAGAGATTCCTGCTTCAGCGTCGACAGGGCTGCGATCCAACCACTGCATGGGCAAGAGGGAGGGGCGCGCTGGGAGCAGACCACACGCAGGCCACGCTGCCCTTGTCCCTGCCAGTCCCCACTGGGGCCTCAGGCTCACGTGTATTCACGTCTTGTCCCCTCACCGATTCCCAGCTAGGGCCCAGGGGGGACAGCCTCCCTGGTCCTCGGCCAGTCACGTTCCCTCCACGAGCATTCCATTGGCTCATCTCCAGACAGTTGTGGAGCTGGCAGAGGGGGCCACACGTGTAGGTCAATGGAACAGAGCAGAAGTAAACTCGGACATGCACTCGCCAGTGAGCCTGCATGAGGCCCTCCAAGCCAGCCAAGGAGGAAAAAGCAGGCCTTCCCACAAGGTGGCCCACGACTCCAGCCACAGACAAGGAGGACCTTGAGATGGTGGGAAGAGCCCAAGGGCACCTCCTCATGACCTTAGATGTGGCTGCAGAATGAAGCTAGGCAGCACCAGACAGGGCCACAACTCCAACCTCTGCCAGCTGGTCCCCAGTGCTTGCAGTGCCCGACACCAGAAGCACAAGCAGCTGGAGAACAACAGAAAATTTGGGATCCACAAAAAAAAAAAATTTTTTTTTTTAAAGTTTTGGGCACCAAAGGATGCCATCAAGGAAACTAAAAAAGAAACACAAAATGGAAAAACAAATTTTAGGGACCAGAATGGTGGTATGGTGTGTTAATAAGTGCTGCCTGTGATACTGCCAGCATCCCTTAGCCTAGCTAGGATAGTCTGAGTTCCTTCTGGTCTAGGTTCCTGTGTATGGGCATGGGGAAGCCGCAGAGGAGTCAAGTGCTCAGACCCACACCAACCACACGGCTGACCCGGATGGCGTTCTGGGCTCCTGGTTTCAGCCTGGGTCATTGCAGCCATGCGGGGAGTGATCCAGCAGATGGAAGAGCTCTGTGTCTTTCCCTGAAATACTATTTTTTTTTTAAAGAAGATAATTTGTAAATCAGGCCCTAGCATCCAGAATTCATATAAAAGTTAGGACTTGAATAGACATTTCTCCAAAGATGACACAAATGGCTGAACACAGCAAAGATGCTCAGCATCATTATCTATTCAGGAAATAAGAGACAAGTGGATAAGTGAAAGAAGAAAAAAAAAAATAAGAACTAAAGCATTTGTCTCACTCGCCTTCTACATCTCTAACCTCCCCACCCTAATTGGGGGTCCACATAGGTATGTATCCCTCTCAACTATGTAAACAATCTTAAAAACAAGTAAAAAAAAACAAAAAACCCAAAAAACAATTCCAAGCATGGATGACAGGGACACTTAGGGTCCCTGGTGCAGCTGCGCCTCAGTAAGCGAAACACAGAATTCCCACAGAGCGAGTATGTCTGCTCCCAGGTATGCAGAGGACAGACACCTGCGCGCGCACGCGCGCACACACACACACACGCTCCCAGCTGCCGTGCCCACCAGCTGACCAATGGAGAGCAGTGTGTCCACCCGACGCCGTGAGGCACTGCTACACCCTCAGCACAGTGTGATCCAGGGACCAGACCCACCTTGCAGGCTCGTGGCTGCCAAGGGGTTGAGAAAGGAGAGGAAGGGAGCAGGGATTTCTTGGGGATGGTGACAGTGTGGTAGCTGCACCAGAAGCCACAGAGCCATGCAGCTCTGTGTGCTTTCAGTGGCAAGAAAAAGGGTGAATCTGATGGGGTGTGTATTCTACCGGAAGGAAACAAAAGGCGGGAGAGATAGTCACGGGGGGCTTGAGTGAGGAACACGATTGGGGGCCAGAGGGCTCAGCCAGGCAGGGCAGGCAGGCCAGGCAGGGCAGGCAGTGCTGGAGCTCCGGGCCCTGCCTGCTGGCCCAGGGTGTGCACAGCAGGGACTAATCGCATCGTTCCATCAGGGTTTTGCCTGGCTCCCGCTCCCGAGTGAGGAAATCAGGTCACTGATCAAAAGAGGCCAGATGAGCAACAGCAGGGTGAAAAGGAAGAGGGGTGCTGGGGGCTTAGCCCCCTTCTCACTGTTCCAGACCTGCCAGCTGCGCTGAAGGGAGAGGACCAAAATAGTCCATCCCTTACAGGCAGAGGCACAGGCGCGCAGCCAGCCTGACCTTTTAGCAATGTACCCTGCGCACCAGGGCAGAAACGCACACGTCAGCCATGTGCTCTGAGGTGCGGTGGGAGCCTGGGACTGAGGAAGCTGGGAGACAAGCCAGCTATGTGCTCCAAGGGGGGCGCCAAGGGGAGCAGATACAGCCCTGGGGCCCTCAGGTGCTGGCCCGGGTCCCTTCCAATGCTCCAGGAGGTGGAGCAGAGACTGCGAGAAAGGCTGAGCCCCATGGCCAAGGCCCAGCACCCTTCGGGATGCCCTGAGTCTCACCTGTCCCCCAGGCCAGGGATGCCAACCAACTGGATGATGTAGATCCCTATTTGACAAAAAAATACAAAGAAGAAGACGAAGAAGCTGAAAGAGTTGTCGGACCTGCGGAGAGAGGACATGAGAAGTCAGCGGGTGCTGGGACTGTGTGCTTCAGTGTCCCTCCTAGGCTGTGACAGCTCACCTCCTGAGGAGGCAGGGGGTACCAGGAGACAGATCCCAGGGCCCCAAAGGACAAGACATCAACCACCATCAGGCACGGTCGGCCTCACTCGCCTTCCGTTGAAGGCCTAGGGCTGGTACCCTCCTCAAAGAACTGACTGTGCTGCCCCTTGAAACCCAACACCCTGATTCCTGGAGGAGCTTATTTTTTTATTTAGAAGGTTGATTTATTTATCTATTTATTTGTTATTTAAGATTTATTTTAATGTTTATTGCAAAGTCAGATATACAGAGAGGAAGAGAGACAGAGAGGAAGATCTTCCGTCCAATGATTCACTCCCCAAGTGACCGCAGTGGCCAGTGCTGCGCCAATCTGAAGCCAGGAGCCAGGAACTTCTTCCAGGTCTCCCATACAGATACAGGGTCCCAAGGCTTTGGGCCGTCCTTAACTGCTTTCTTTCCCAGGCCACAAGCAGGGAGCTGGATGGGAAGCGGGCTGCCGGATTAGAACCGGTGCCCATATGGGATCGTGATGCATTCAAGGTGAGGACTTTAGCCATTAGGCCACAGCGTTGAGCCCTAGAAGGTTTATTTTTATTAGAAAGACAGATCAGATTTACGGACAGGAGAAACAGAGAGAAAAATCCGTCTGCTGCTTCACTCCCCAAGTAGTGGCTGCAAGAGCCGGAGAAAAGCTGATCCGAAGTCAGGAGCCAGGAGGCTCTTCCAGATTTCCCATTTGGGTGCAGGGTCATTTTTTTTTTTAAGATGTATTTATTTTTATTGGAAAATCAGATGTACAGAGAGAAGGAGAGACAGAGAAGATGATCTTCCGGCTAATGATTCACTCCCCAAGTGACTGCAATGGCCGGAGTTGAACCGATCTGAAGCCAGGAGCCAGGAACTCTTCCAGGTCTCCCACACGGGTGCAGGATCCCAAGGCTTTGGGCCATCCTCGACTGCTTTCCCAGGCCACAAGCAGGGAGCTGGATGGGAAGTGGAGCTGCCGGGATTAGAATCGGTGCCCATATGGGATCCTGATGCGTTCAAGGCTAGGACCTTAACCATTACGCTACGCTATTGCGCCGGGCCCACAGGTGCAGGGTCATAAGGACGTTGGCCATCCTGCACTGCTTTCCCAGGCCACAAGCAGGGAGACGCATGGGAAATGGAGCAGCTGGGACATGAACCAGCACCCGTATGAGATGTCAGCGCTACAAGGTGGAGGATTAGCCGACTGAGCCATCGTGCCAGCCCCAAGGAGTAGTTTCTTCACTTTTCACACCAGGAAAGAACATCTGAGGCAAAGACATAAGCCGCAGTACAACTGGAGGCCTGGAGGCAGCAGCACAGTGCAGCGGGGTAAGCCGCTGCTTTTGATCCCATGCTGGAGTGCTATTCAAGTCCCACTTGTGCTGCTCCCCACCCAGCTCCCTGCTGATGCGCCTGAGAGGCTCGAGTCCTTGGGCCCCAGCCACGCATGTGGGAGATCTGGATGGAGTTCCTGGCTCCTGGCTTCAACCTGGCCCAGATCTGGTTAGTGCAGTCATTTGGAGAGTGAACCAGGGGAGGGAAGATTTCTGTCTTTCCCTCACTCTACTGATCTACGACTCAAAAAACTTATCTTTAAAACAAGAGGTCCTGCGTGGTAGCCTAAAGGCTAAAGTCCTTGTCTTGCATGTGCTGGGATCCTATATGGCACCGGTTCATGTGCCGGCTGTTCTACTTCCCATTCACCTCATGCTTGTGACCCCGGAGGGCAGCAGAGGACGGCCCAAGGCCCCGGGACCCTGCACCCGCGTGGGAGACCTGGAAGAAGCTCCTGGCTCCTGATTGGCTCAGCTCTGGATGTTGTGGCCACTTGTGGAGTGAACCAGCGGATGGAAGATCTTTCTGCCTCTCCTTCTTTCTTCTGTAAATCTGACTTTCCAATAAAATAAATAAATAGATCTAAAAAAAAACCCAACAACAACAAACTGTAGGGCTGGGATGACTGGGGAGGGGGTGGGAAGAAACGTCAGGGAGGGAACGCGGGCCTAACTATGAGGCCTGAGCATATTTCCTTCTTCATGTCCTGGCAGCCCAAACACAGCAAGGGTCAGGTCGTGCTCAGTGGTCCAGGCCCTGAAGGCACTCACTCTGAGGTACAGTTCCACCCCCAGCGGTCAGTCAGATGAAACTGCTAACGCTGCAGGCTTGGTGCTGTGCAGATGCACAAAGTCCTGTGGGGTGTCCCACTTGGGGACAGCCCTGAGCGAGCACCTCCTTCACACAGAACCCTCCACCTCTCAGGGACTGTGAGCAGTGGGAGAGTGACCTGACCGAGATCCCACCCACCTCCCCGGGCTCCTAGGCCTAGTTCAGAGACATAGCACAAGGGGCCCAGCACAATGACCTAGTGGCTAAATCCTCGTCTTGCACATGCTGGGGATCTCATATGGGCACTGCTTTGTGTTTCGGTTGCTCCACTTCCCATCCAGTTCCCTGCTTGTGGCCTAAGAATGCAGCAGAGGACGGCCCAAAGCCTAGGGACGCTGCACCCGTGTGGGAGAATTGGACGAAGCTCCTGGTTCCCAGCTTCAGATTGGCTTAGCTTCAGCCATTGCGGCCACTTGGGGAGTAAGGCAGGAGATGGAAGATCTTTCTGCCTCTCCTTCTCTGTAAAATCTACCTTTCTAACAAAAATAAGTAAAATCTTGGGCCCGGTGCAATAGCGTAATGGTTAAGGTCCTCGCCTTGAATGCATCATGATCCCATATGAGCGCCAGTTCTAATCCCGGCAGCCCTGCTTCCCATCCAGCTCCCTGCTTGTGGCCTGGGAAAGAAAGCAGTCAAGGATGGCCCAAAGCCTTGAGACCCAGCACCTGTGTGGGAGACCCAGAAAGAAGTTCCTGGCTCCTGGCTTCAGATTGGCGCAGCACTGGCCACTGCGGTCACTTGGGGAGTGAATCATTGGACGGAAGATCTTCCTCTCTGTCTCTCCTCTCTGTACAGCTGCCTTTCCAATAAAAAATAAATAATAAAATAAAATCTTTAAAAAAAAAGGCAGCACAGGGGGACAGGGTGGTGGCACAGTGAGTCAGGCTGCTGTGTGTAATGCTAGAACCTCCTATAAGCACTGGTTTCACTCCCAGCTATTCCATTTCCAATCCAGCTCCCTGCTAACCGGTCTGGTAACGCAGCAGAAGATGAGCCTAGTGCTTGCGCCCCACACTCAGGTGGGAGACCCAGAAAAAGGTCTTGGTGACTACCTCCAGCCTGGCCCAGCCCTGGCTGTTGCTGCCACTGGGGAGTAAACCAGTGGATAGAAGAGCTTTCTCTCTGTCTCACTTTCTCCCTGGAAATCTGCTTTTCTAATAAAAACAAATCTTAAAAAAAAAAAAAAACCACAAATCCAAAGACACAACACAGGTACAACTGCAGACAGTGGCCCAACCCCCAGCCGTGTGGGGGATAGGAAAGTGGGTTTCCTGCCTCCTCTCTGGGATGCTGCCTCCCCCCTGTCGCCCCCAGCCCCACTCACCTAAAGGCCTTGTAGATGGGTCGGTACCAACACAGGAAGGCACAGGGGGTGAAGATCAGAAACCACAGGATGGAGAGGCCGAAGTCCACACCCTTGGAGCTGTCGCCCGAGAACCAGGCCAGGCAGGCGAGCAGGTTCAGGAACAGGGTCACTGAGTGCACTGGGAAGAGCAGAGGGAACACTCGCTCGGGACCCCAGCACGGCAGGCCTGCTCCCTCCTGACAGGCTGGCCCTTGGCTCAGCAGCCCTGCTCCCAGGGCCTGTGTGGTCCAAAAGAACCCATGCAGGATTTTCTTGCACTTTCTGGGCATCTGGGGCCCACACCTGGGAGACTGCTGCCTAAGGAGGGCCCTCAGTGCCATGAGCTCCACAAGCACCCAGGGTCTCTGGGCAGTTGTTTCCCCCGCCCACGCTGTGGCCTGCCTGCCCCTTTTCAGGAAGGTCCTAGATGAGGCTGCCCCTGGGGGAGGGCCAGGGCCCGTAGGCTGCGTGGAGCACTCACACATCCAGAGGTAGTAGAGCATCTTGCATATCCGCTGGTAGTCGGCAGGAATCTCCGTGGAGAAGTCCTGATAGAAGCACGGCTTGACTGGGCACCAGGAGGGCAGCGGCGGCCAGTTGTTCTCTCTCACTGAGTGGAGCAGGGAGGAAGGGCGAGGTGAGGTCCAGCCCCACCAGCCAGGCATCCCTGAGTCAGGTCCTCATGGAGCATGGACTGGGAGGGGACAGAGCTCAGCTCAAGGCCACAGAGAGGGTCAAATGCACTGGGAACTTGTCCACATCAAGATTATTCTCACTCATCATGAGCCCCCAAGTATGGCAACCAGGCTATCATGACAAGTAGGGGACTTGGGCCAACCAGAGACCGCCCCCCATGCTGACCAAGAACCCAAGAATCAAGAGCTGGAATGGGGTGACTGCCTAGGGTGGGGGCAGGAGCTCCGCATCCCAGCCTCTCGCTCCCTCTGCCTCTGAGCTGCCCCCAGCGAGGCACCTTTCTTCTGTGCCAGGCAGGGTGGCCAGGGCCCAGCAGCCCGCTTACCATGCAGGCTGGCCACAGTGTTCTGTAGCTCCCGTTCCTTGCGGTCCAGCTCGGCAGCCTTCCTGTCTAGTTCCTCCTGCTGCCGGAGCAGGCCTGCCTGTGCCGCAGAAGCCACGGCCTGCAGAGAACAGGGAGGAGGGAGACACTGGACTCAGGGGAACCAGGAGCAGAGTGCCAGCCCAGGTGGGCAAGTCCCACATACGCTTAGGTGACCCGACCGCTGCTGCTCCCACCCCACCCAGCCCCTCAGCGTCACCATAGCTCCCATCTCCCCTCACTCTTAGGCCTGAGAGAGGGGACTATCCCCAGAGCTTCCCACCCCTCCATGGCAGTGGGAGTCCAGGCAGAATTCAGTTGCAGTGACCTCTATGGGTACAAACAAGAGACTGACGCATAGCAGAAGCCTGAGAGCCTGGCAGGGGTGGGAAGGGGCAGCAGCCGTAAGGGGAAGGGTGCCTCGGAGGGGTCACTGCATGCCCGGACCTCAGGGTACGGCCTGAGCACTCCTTCCTCCCAACCCCAGCAGCTGGCCCACTGGACCTGAGCCAATCACCCCCACTGCAACAGGCCCTCCTCTTGGCTTTTGTCGTGTGTCCTGTCCCAGCTTTCTTCCCATTCTGGGGTGGTAGGCTGAGTAAGGGGCTCAGAGGCTCCTGTCCAGGGACTTGCTGCTGCCTGCCGAGCAGACATCCTACTGGTTGCAATGGCAGGAGGATGTATATACAGACATGTGTGTACACATGGACATGCAGACATGCCAGGCACATGTGTACAGGTGTATCCACATGCGCACCTCCCCTCAAAGGCGGCGCTCCAGACTGCCACGGTGTCTGAGAGGCAGTCAACAGGTGCTGCAGGCAGCTGGGGGATGCAGCAGCTGACCACAGTAGACCGCACTGAGCGAAGCCTTCTGGGGGCGGGACACAGGTCTCCCGGCTCACCACCGACAGGGCCGCCCTGCGCCAGGGGCTGCCTCACCTGCACAGCTGCAGGGCCACGCACCTGCTGGCCTCGCCTCGGCCTACCTGCGGAAGCTCTCGCATGTGGCTGTGTCTGAGCACACTATCTCCTGCTAGCAGCATCTGCCTCTCTGAGAGCTCACCCACTGCCAGGAACCGTGCAGGCAGGATCTTGCTGGCCTGCCTAAGCAGGAGCTGCAACACACACGCGGCTGTGGGCCATGCTCATGGGCCAGCGGGCAGCACATGACAGGGCTGAGCGCTGGGCACAGAGCAGACAAGAGTCATAGGACATGGAGTGGGGACAGAGGGATACAGGAGGGCAGGTTGGGCCAAGTGAGGTCAAGGAGAGAGAGAGACATTCTTGGCCCAGGGCAGGAGTGTGTGCGCCCTGTGGGCTAAGGCTTGCTGAGCATACCACAGCCCTTGTTGGCTGGGCTGTGTGTGGGGTTGGTGGTGGCTAGGGCTGAGGACAGGGGCTGAAGATATCAGAGGGGAGGGCAGCCCCTCCCTTGCAAGTGATGGTTGCAAACACATCAGCAAAAGGGCAGTGGCGGGAGCTGGGGCTAGGCTCTGCCTAGGGTGGGGGCAGGAGCTCCGCATCCCAGCCTCTCGCTCCCTCTGCCTCCGAGCTGTCCCCAGCGAGGCACCCTTCTTCTGTGCCAGGCAGGGTGGCCAGGGCCCAGCAGTCTGCTTACCATGCAGGCTGGCCACAGTGTTCTGCAGCTCCCGCCGACACTGTCACAGCAAGCTGTTCCTTGTTCCCAGTGGCCACAGAGCTTCCCTCCCTCATTGCACAGAACGCCCCAGGAACCCCTGCCCACAATACCTGGGGGGTTGGCTGGGTGGGCTCCACTGAGGGCTGCAGAACCGCCGGCTGCGAGGGCCCGTGAAGCTGGGAGACAGGAACCGTTGTCGCTGCATTTGTCTGCACGAAACAGATCCCAGGAGGGAAGTGAGTGTCGAGCCTAGAACACAGCACTTGTCCCTTCTTGCTACAGGGGATTCCCTCCAGAGCCCTCTGGCCATCATCTGGCCAGCCTCACCCTCCAGGCCCATTCCCAGCTTGTTCCAAACACAGGACCCTCAGCTAGAGCTCTGGGGCACAGAGCCTGACCCCATCCTCAGAAGGGGCCTCGGGTCACAGGTTCCAGGGGAAACCTGTGGTGACCACCCTGTCCTCCCCCTACCCTGAGAGTACACAGAGACCAACCCTTATGGACGGTGGCTGCTGGGAGGTGCAGGGGTCTCTGCTGCACCCTGTGCCCCGAGATCCCCAGAACCGCCTGTAGAACCACAGGCAGAAGGGCATGGGCACCCACCTCGGAGAAGGGGTTGAACTCAGCGAGGCCACCCTGTGGGGCACTGGTCAGCTGGGTCACAGAGGGGTCCTAGAAAGTGAAAGAGGCATATTAGATGCAGAGACAGGTGGGCGAGTCTTTGGGGACAGCAGGCACAGGTGCAGCTGCCGAATGCACTCCTGTGGCACAGCTGTATACCTGTCCTTCCTGGAAAGGCCACACCCACAGCCTCCCACAACAGGCTTAAAGTGGACTGAGGTGCCACCCAGGGTCTTGTCAGCAGCCTTGCAGGCTCAAAGTGGTCTCTGGGCTTCCTTTTGCTGCTTCGTTTATTATTCTTACACTTTCTCAAAGGAGGACAAAGGTTCTGGAACATAAACTGCCACCAGTGCCGACTTAAGTCAGGCATACTTGCTGGGAGTAGAGATGGGAAAAGATAGGAAATCGTTTTTGGTTGCTGCTTTTGGATTCTCTTAAAAAAAAGAAAAAGAAACAAACATAAAAATGTCCTCAGAACATGGCCTTCTTCAGGTTTTCCCATCTGATGTCTGCCCAGGCTTGGTCCAGGACTCCCGCCACCTCTCAGCTCATGGGCCACCTGCTGGTCTAGGTAAGTCTGTCCTCACCCTGAGCCCCACCCAACAGGGCACCCTTCCTTCTGGGCAATGGATGAAGGCACAGGTGTAACACACAGCCACTCCCAGGCTCTGGGAAGGATGGTCTGAGGGGCCAGAGGACCATCAGCTCAGTCTCTGCTCCCCCTGCCCCCTAGCTTTGCCTACATCAGGAAGCTTCCATGGCCCTCTCCTCCACAATGCTAACATTTGAGCCTCAGATGGCAGCCTGGGGGACTGGTAGGGGCTGAGGCCGACACCGTCACAGCGAGCTATTATTCCCTATTCCCACTGGCCACAGAGCTGAAGTCAGCACCTGGCGTGTCCTCCAGCTTGTTCAGACACTACATCTGCTAGAGGATAAGGCTGTGCCCAATTGTCCCCAGGACCCAGCCCGCAGCAGGCACACTGCCTGAACCTGTTTTGGGTGTCTGGTGTGTCTGGCCAGCCTCACTCTCCACAAGTCCCCATACCCAGCCTCCTCTGCTGCACACACAGTGGCTCCTTGCAGCTTCGACAAAGGGACAAGGTGAGGTCTGGGTGGCCACCTGCTGCTGAGCAGGGGCTGGAGGGTATCCCACAGGACTTCATGCCCGAGTGGCTCGTGGTTTTTCAGAGGCCCCTGGCTTCCTGCAGCAAGGTTTGGGGCTCAGTGCCTGTTCCCCTTTCAGATGCAGCAGATGCTGGCCACACCTGAGATGCCGGGCAGAGTCAGAGAGGGCACTGCTCCACCCCAGCAGACAAGCTCCTCCAGTTTGAGTCAGCGCAGGACAAGGCTAACAGGCTGGCTCTGGTGGCAGCTCCAGGTGTTGGCACACACACCCGTGGCCAACAGGCGACCTCCAGCACCACAGACGGACTGCATTTCTTCCACTATGACAGCCTGAGGGGGTCCTGGGTATGGGACAAGAAGTAGGAGGAGAGTGTGTGAGCTGTGTCCACACGATGTAAAATCTTTGAGTCGTGGCCCAGACTCATTGTAAACACTTGCTGGTCTCTGTGACCAGGAGTCTGCCTTCCACATCTTCTACTGCATCCCATCTGCCCCTGTACTTGGTGAAGGGCCTGAGACGGAGCCCAGCTTAGCCAACATTTCAGGATCAATGGTACCCACTGCAGGGCCTCCGCTTTCCCTAGAAGCTCTGCCCAGATGCCAGGGCGTGGAGGAGGGCACTCCTGCAGAATGGTGGGGGCCCGAGGGCCCAGGGGCCCGTGGCCTGTGCAGGGGAGCTGAAAACACTGAAACTCCAGCTGCTTCACTCTTCACCAGACCTGGCTTCTGTCTAAAAGTTGTGATGGGCTCAAGAGAAGCTGAGGTCTGGCGGGGACTTGACACTGAGGGCCAGAATCATCCCACAACAGTGCGGCAGTGGCCCCTGGGACAAGCATCCACAGAGGCCCCACCAGCCCCTCTCAACCCCAAACCTCGGGAGATGTCTGCCCATGGCCCTGGGATCCGCTGTCTACAACCACTTAACCACTCGCTTCTACAGTGGCACTAGCTTTTTTTTTTTTTTTTTTAATGCACTTATTTATTTGAAAGGCAGAATGAAAGGGAGAGACACAGAGCTTGTTGGTTTACTCCCCAAAAGCTGGCACCAGTTGGAGCAGGGCTAGACCAAAGCCAGGAGCCAAGAATCCCAACTGGATCCAACTGGATGTCATACAGGAGTGGCAGGAGCTCAACTACGTGGGCTTCCATCCCAGCTTCCCCAGATTCACCCTAGCAGGTGAGGATGGCAAGCAGAGGTGGGACCAGACCTGGGCCCTGCCAGGCAGTAGCTGCTGTGCCAGGGCCCGGGGGAGGAGCCTATGTCTGCTGGCTTGGCAAGGCAGGATGTGGGTCAGTTCACCCCCCAAGACAAGGCCACGCCAGGATGACTCAGGTCCCTCTGCCTGGGGCCAAGGGCAGGGAAAGCACCCAGAGCCCAGGACATTGCCGGCCAAAGGGCAGGTGCCAGTTAACATGGTCACCCCAGGAGGCAATAGACAGAGGCCTTTCCTAGCTACTTGAAGCAGGCAGTCCTTAATGTCTCCGCAATTGCTGATGCCTGTGCAGTGGACGGCATGCCCAGGTCCACATGGGGGATGAGGCAGCCAGCTCATCTGGGCCTGCCTAGTGCCATGGCAGAAGATGGAGCACAGAACGGGTTGGACATCTCTCCTGGCTGAGCTTGGCAGCAAGTGTCTGGGTTTGAGTGGATACACCAAGGTGAACTCTATCAGTCAATGGACCATGGATGGATTTTCTCAACCTTGGCGCAATGAAACCAACAGCACCTCAGAACTGTTAAGATCACTCAAGTGATCCCCTCGGAGCATCCTCTTCACATCGGGGCTTCTAAGATGACATCAAGTGGACATCCCCTATCCTGGGTCTTAATATAATTTGGCAGATGGGAGCAACCCCCTTTCTCCATTCTCCCTCGACACAGGAGGAAAGAAAAATTGGAAGCATTTGTCCCACCCACCTTCCCCCATGCTTTGACCCTCCCCATCCTAATCAGTGGTTTTCTTGGCTGTGTATCTTTGTCAAAAAAATAATTTTTTTAAAAGCAGGTAGTCCTTGAGGAAGCCCTGGTGAGACACACACGGAAGGTCACCTGCCACAGGGACTGCCTGCGGGGGTGGGGAACTCCACTGGGTCACAACACCAAGTCAGCAGCCTTCCTTCCACTCATGGGGCACCACCTGCCTCTGAAGTGGGTCAAAGTCACTTGTAAGGATGCCGAGGTCAAGTTTCGAAGGAGAAGTAACCTAAAACCCCCTCAGTGCTGCTCCGCTCTGACCAGCCAAGACGAGGACTGAATGACAGGCCTTCACAGCCAGTCAACAGTGTGCCTGGGCAACATGCTGCAAGGAAAGGATGTGGTCATCCCCTTCTGGGGACCAGAGTCAGGCAGCTGAGACCATGGACGCAGCCTGAGAGGGGCCAGGGGCCACACCCAGGTGCAGAGTGATGATGGGGACAGAGGGGGCTAGAGAGGGACAGCAAGGGGGCAGCAGGTGTGTGGGTCAGCAACCCTGTCCAACTCCTCCACACCAGGAAAGTGCCCGGCATGGATGGGCTGCGGCACCCAGGCAGGGCATGAACACACACTGGCTGGCCTGGCCTGCCCTCTCCTCCCATGGGTCCTGCAGGTCCTCACCAGGCACAGGCCTCTGCGCCTGTTCCCTGCTCTCCCATCCTGCCCCACCCTCCTCTGGGCTTCTGGCTTCGCCTTAGTCCAGTTCTAACTTAGAGCCATTTGGAGAGTGAACTAGCAAGCTCACTTGCTTTTTCTGTTTAAAAACAAAAAACAAAAACATGGCTATATAAAGATAGTGCAGCAATACAGAAAGACTCTACTATATGAATACCAAATTATAGCTGCGAAAAAAGCATAACCATAATTATAGACCATGGTTTGTGATAAAGGTTGTGAAACCCTGGTGGAAAGCCAGCTTCTTCCCTTCCTGGGTTTTACAAGATGACGTCACTTCACAGGTGCATCCCCACAGGCTTTGCAACTTTGCAGATGAGAGCCTGAGAGCCACTGGAGCCAAGGGGCACCCTCCGGCCTCCCTCCCTGCCCGGAAAAGTGAAATGGATCTGCCTAACCGAACACCCCTCCTCTGAGCACAGCTACAGGTCAGCCCCTCCCACTGCCCTTACTGGTCTCCCAGCACAAACCAGTCCATACTGAGCACCAGAAAAAATGTCCCAGTTCCTGTCCTTGGGAAGCAGAGTACAAAGCTCCGACAGAAGGCAGGCAGGCAGGGGAGGTGCATGGTCAGTGCTGCAGCTGCAAGGCCAGGGCAGCGGCTCACAAGACAATCAGGCCCCAAGGCTCCTCCAGACAGCCTGGGGAGCTGGTCAGGCCTGTGGCGTGAGCCTGGAGGTGCAGGAAGAGAGCGGCAGGAGACACCCCGACAAGGCACAGAATTTAGGTAAACAGCTTGCTTGTGTGTGTGTGCGTGTACGCACACACGTGCGCACTAGTGTGTTCCACAAATGGGCAGTCCTGGAGCCTGGGAGGGAATTATGTCGGGGGGAAAGCCAGGAGTGCCCAAAGACGGCGAGGGCAGACGAAGGACTCTGGACTTGACCCTAAGGGAGAACTAGAGGTCTGCCATCAGGTAAAATGCAAGATAAGGGGTAAGGGGATGATGGTGGCACAGGATGGCTGACATGACTGATAGTGATGGACTGCAACTGGGGACGGACAAGGGAGAGACCCCATGGACCATCCTTAAGCCAAGGCCAGAGGTCAGGAGGGAATGAAGGATTGTAGGGTGATCGAAGGGGAGGGAAAGGGAAGGGAGAGGAGAGAGGGGGTGAGAGGAGAGAAAGGAGGGAGGAGCGGAGGTGCAGAACCTTCACCTGGTGAAAGGCGCCTCAGGGAAGCCCGTGAAGTAGGATGCTGGCGAGGCCCAGCTGTGAGCTGGGAACGCTGGTCTGAAGCTCAGGAGGGCAGTGGGAGTGGGATCTAGGGCAGGACTGGGTGTGAGGATGTTCCCAAGAGGCCCAGTGGGAGGGTGAGGGAAGCGAGGCTGAGGACAGACATCTGGGGCCCTCAGCAGTGGGAAGATGGGCTGAGGTGAACATCATCATGGCAGGGATGAATGCACACGAGCCTGGCATAGTAAGCACGTGTCTCCTAGGAGACCTCAGAACCTAACAGTGTGGAGGTGCTGGGGCTGCAGCGTGACAGCACACAGGAGCACTGGAACACCGCCCTCCTGCCCAGCGCATCCTGTCCTCACGGGTGACCGATCCAGGCTTCCCCTCCAGATGAGCAGCTCGGACAGGCATCGACTGCTTGGCCGTGCTCACTGGCCTCACAAAGGTCTGCACCGCGGTGGGCCTCAGCGACAGGAACTCTAGGGGGAGCGTCTGGAGGGGCACCTGACATGCAGGTCACACCATGCAGTTGTGCACGGTGCTCCTTCAGTCCCCAGGGTCTGTCCTGGTAGAATGCCACCGCACCTTTGGACGTGGGATTTCCCCATGCCAAGCAGCTCCAAAGGAACCAGAGGTGTAGGCTCCATGTGCCCCGTGTCTCTGGCCAAGCTCTTCCTCATGTACAGCCCAGTACCAGGGGCCAACCAGAAGGCCAGCAACAGCCCACTCTGCGCTGAGTGAACTCGGCCGTGGGTGGATGCCAGGGTGCACTGCTGGGTTCTCAAGGGGCTCTGGCAGGTCACGGAGCTGCCATCCGGCTGCAGCACACTGTGCTGGGAAGCAGCCAGGTCTCCAGTGTGCACGCAGGGGACTTTGTATAATTCTGTTCACACCCAAATCATGTCTCTCCACCCACAGGGCAGGGAGCACCACAGCACCAGAGTGATTGTTCCAGTGTGAGGAGGCAGCACAACGTGTGCGTGTGCATAAAGCTGGCAGCTGGCACAATCTGGGCCATGAGGTAGAGGGGGCAGGGAGCCTGCCCTGACACCTGCCTGGGAGGTCTGATTTCTGCAGACTTCAGAACAGGAGGGACAGCAGCTTCCTTTGGCTTCCTGCTTCCTGACCGCCAGAAGAGGCTCGGTGAGAAGCCTGGACACCTGGCAGGCCCGCAGCAGACGCACCATAACGCACAGCAATGAGGACGTGCCAAGGCTGGGAAACAGGCCCGCTTGGGGGGCAGCTTCCTGCTTCCTCCTGGGAGCTGGGCCTCAGCTGCTCCCCTGTGGTGTAACGTCCCACATGGGGCTCTTTACTCTGTGGGAAGTTTTCTATACAACATGCAAAAGAGGAGAAGGTGGTTAAAGCCCATGGCCGCACTGCACCTCGGAGCTGGGGTGGACAAGCAGGGGCTTGGTAAGGCACTTGGATGAGGAAGTGCCCACACTGGGACTTCCACCAGATGTCACCAGGGTGTGCAGAAATGGGGTTCCATGGTTGAGTGGCTCAGAGAAACGAGAGATCTGACAAAGCTGAGCAGGTGTGTTAACTGTGGATTTTCTCCAAACCGTTGGCAGCGGCTCACAGGGTGGGGAGCACTGAGCCCCGGGCACCTCCCAAGCCTGGCACGGCTGACAGCAGGACACACACTGGGACTATTCTATCCTCTCAAACTGGGGGAAGAAAAAAACACGAAAAGGAGGAGTACCAATGTGTTACTTTCACCACAGCAGGACTCTCCTTTCAAGAACAGTGGCAAGGGTGATGCTGTTACATTCTTTCCTTAGCAAGAGGAAAACAACCCCCCCATAGCCTAGCCGCACTGGTTGTCCAACACCAGAGTCTGTGTCAGGGGTCTTAAGTGTTGGCTAGGGGCTCTGTCCACATTCCCCACTCCTGTTCCCAACTCCAGCGCTTCCTGGCTAACTTGGTTTCTGCCATTCCCATGGAGATGTAGAGGGAGTTCATGGCTCCCGGCTTCGGCTTGGTCCAGCCCTGGCTACTGCGGGCATTTGGGGGAGTGACCCAGTAGTGGGAACTCCCTTGCTTACTCTTTCCACCTCTTAAATAAATAAGCTATAAATAGATAATAAAAATAAAACCACACTGCTCTGGAAATGCGACCCGGGTCTGGGCCCTTCCTGCGGCCAAGCAGGCATTGGTGACACACTCGGCCTGCCTTACACTCCTGGGGTCGTGGGTCTCCATCTCTGAACTGAAGAAGTTAGCAATAGATGTCTGAGAAAGTTCCTGGCTGTAGCAGCCAAGCCCCGACACTGTCCCAAAGGCATATTCCTACAGTTGACCCTTAAGTGGGGTGACAACGGAACACTAGCCCTGCTCTGGAAGTCACCAAGGTGGATAGTTCTGACGTCTGTCCCCACGGGCACCAGCTATGCTGAGCAGCGCCAACACCCTGAGCAAACGAAGCTTCTGGGCTCACACCCAGCCCCCAGGCCTGTAGCCTGGGAGGCAGGCAGGCAGGCTCCATTCTTGGAAGGGAAGGCAGGGGAGCCCAGAGGAACGCAAGCCTCACACCTAAGGCTGCTTCGCTCTATACGGCTGTGGCTGCCTGCCAGCAGCGAAAGCGCCTGCCCCGGAGGACGTGGGGTAGAGAGACAGGGTCGTGGCTGGCCAACTCTCTTCTTCCCACACAGGATTCCCCACCAGATGTTGCTGGTTTCCGGGAGCACAGCTGCTTCCTGCCCTGCATATCCTGGTGCCTGTCCACTGGGCGGACTATCTGGCCTGAATTGCAGAAGTTACTTCTGCTGCCAGCCACACAATCATTGCTGGGGCTGGAGCTGCGGTCTGAGGCCTTCATGGAGCTATTAATACAAATGACCGCGCCCACCACCAGTGCCCCAGAAAAGCTCGGGGCAGCTGATCACCTCCCAGGTCAGATAACAGCACCCAGCCTATTTCTGATGCAGACAGGACCAAAAACAAACAAACAAACAAAAGGAAAAAAGCTTACTAGTTATCACTGAAATTCAAACTCTACTATTACACAGTGGTATGGTAAGTAAAAGGCAAAAAGTTACCCAAACCCAAATGGCACAAATAAAACAAGCAAAGGACTCATTCTTAACTATGAGACAGGACTGCTGGCCTTGCCTGAGAGAGGAGGTCCTTGTAAAGGCTTTGTCGAGGAAGCATTAAGCTACAACTGGAAAGCCCAGCATTCCTGGCTGATACAGAAATAAGTTCATAAAACTTGCCTCAAGGGCACCTGTCGGCTAAGTCACCTTGAGACCCAGAAAGACACACAGAATTTCCAACTCACAAAGGTGCGCGATTGATTATTTAGTTCCAAGTCCCTTTTGTGTGTGTTCTGAACTCTCCCAGGACTTCCCTGACACCTGCAAGGACACTGGAGCTGTCCCTGGCACCAAAGCGTGTGACATCTCCACAGGGCAGGAACACCAGGGCTCAGAAATCAGTCAATGCAAGCAGAGCACCCTAGAGCCAGCCTTGCCCAAGGGTTCTGGACCTCACAGAACAGCCAGCTTTTCACCAACAAGGGGGCAAAGAGGGCTGGAACCACCTGGGCTCCTGCTCCAAAGGTTTTGGTTTTAGGCAAAGGCAGTTTCCTCCTTTACTGTACGGTCAAAGGTCAGGCAAGCCTGTGGGTCAGTGTGTGTCTCCGCTGCTCTGCCAGTGCACACAGGGCCATCCACCAGCATTCCTTGAGCTTTCAGGAATTCTCCCTCCCTCCCTTCCTCGATCTCTCTCATCTGCTCCAAGCCCCTTTCGCACCAGACCCAACGTGTTGGACAGTTTAGGGAGCCAAGGCCATTTTTGAAACTTGGGCCAACTTTCCAGCAACCCCTTAGCCTTCTCTTCTTGGAAACTTCAGGGGACTCTCCTGCAGGCTAACCGCTGCTGATGACCGGAGGTCGGGGATGTTCTGGGCTTTTCCCCTATTTTCTTCATCCCTCCGGAGACTCCCCTACCACTTCCTCAAGGAGTTGCTGTCAGCTCCTGTTCCCCAAAGTGACTCAAGATAGGTGCCTTCCCAGGACGGGCAGGCACATGACAGTCACCCCCCGCCAGGGCCTCGCCAAGGGTGCGCCTGTGGCTGCTCCAGGACCCTTTGCCCAACAGTATCCAGCAGTTACAGGGGGGCTGCAGGGCACCGAGTCGGAAAAATCCCACCCTACAACCCACCTACAGCGCCCCGCCCCTCCTCCGTGCCACCTGCTAGTTACGCCCGCCTTCCGGACACTACGATAGGTCAGCTCTCTGAGCTCGCTCTCCCATTGGGCGAGCAGCCCGTCCCTCCTACGCCACGGCGACGGTGGAAGAGGCCCAGGCGGCGGCCCTCGGCCCTGAAGAGAATTGAGAGTTGTGAGCTCTACCTGGAAGGGGTTTACGTCCACTGGGTCCGCGAAGGGGTTGGTGTCGAAGGACGACATGGCGGTCGGGGACCGGCAGGCAAGCTCCGCGAGCGCTGCTGCCTCCGGGCGCGCAGACCCAGCGGCGCTCGGAACAGACCCTCCACTTCCGGGAGCCAGGCGGCCGTTTGTGCGCAGGCGCAACGCCCGCCCCGACGGGCGCGGCCTGCTGGCGTCACAGAGGCGCGTCCCGCCCTCTGCCCGGCCTACTCGGTGGCGGCGGGGACGGGTGCGGAGATGTGTGTTGTGTGTTGTTTATTGCATTAAGTGACCAGAGAGCTGTGGAAAGGTGACACAATTATCCCAGAGATGCTGCTTAAAAATCTTTCGGTCATTTTTCTTGCGTCCTTTAAAATTCTTAGTTGAGCCTAAAGGTCCCGAAGGAGCTGCGTGTCCGCTTTCATGGTGCTTGCAGCTTCTCTGACACCAGGAACTCCATCCAGGTCTATGGCGAGGATCCAGCTACTTAAGACACAGCAGGAAATTGCACTCAGAAGCAGAGCTGGGGGTCCAGGGCGGTAGCGTAGTGATAAAGTCCTCACCTTGAACCTGCAGGGCGACGGTTCTAATCCCGGCAGCTCCACTTCCCATCCAGCTCCCTGCTGTGGCCTGGGAAAAAAGTTGAGGACGGCCCATAGCCTTGGGCCCCTGTGCCCATGTGGGAGACCTGGAGGAAGTTCCTGGTTCCTGGCTTTGGATAGGTTCAGCTCTGGCTGTTTGGTCACTTGGGGAGTGGATCATCAGACGGGAAGATCTTCCTCTCTGTCTCTCCTCCTCTCTTTGTAATAAAAATGAAAAATGAATAAATTCATTTTTAAAAAATGAAGAAGAAGCAGAGCCGGGACTTGAGCCCAGGGCTTCCGGTATGGGCTGAGGGCGTCTTAGCCACTAACCTGAAGGCCTGCAGCCAACGCAGCTCTTCCTGACACCATCTCGGCAGGGGGTGGGTGGGTGGCTTCCCCAACACCAAGTTTCTCAAACAACCATCAACAATTCCAGCAGAACCACCCTGACCCTAGCTTCTGATGCTAGTCACAACCCCCTCCTGTAGCTTCTGAGCAACCAGCTGAGAATCGGTGTTCCCAACGCGTCCTCCTCAGGTTCAGGAAATGAACCCACAGACCTCAGGGAAAGCTGTCCTGGCCCTCGCTCAGTGGTCAAGCGGGTGGAAGAGCTGCACTGGGGACCTTCTGAGCTTCATTGCCCATCACCCCACCCGGCTCCCCTAAGTATGACTCAGGGGTGGAGGGATCACAGACGGCTGAGAAGGAGTCATGGGGATCTGGGGGCTTCCTGCTACAGGCAGACCTCACCTGCGGACGCTGGTGGGAGCAAGGAACCTGCTCCTGTCTGATCCTAACAACTGGAGCCGTTGACCAAGCAGCCTTTCCTCCACAGGATGCAGCCACACAGCCGAGGCTAGGGCCCCGGGCTTCCCCAGCCAGGCACCCAACATCCGTGAATGCAGCCCTCAGCAGAGGCCGGGTTCTGAGCTCACGTTGTGCTCAGCATAGGGGACACTGGAGGAGCACAGAGCGTGATGTGTCCCTACAGAGCCGTAGGTCCTTCCACCATGTCCGACAGGTTGACACCGTCATCCAAATCCTGCAGAGGCTAGGGACCAAAACTCAAGTTCAGGGTCATGCTTGTGACGTTTGCCATCATCATGCCACCAAGCCCCCGATGATGGCAGCAGTTCTTAGGTAGGACCTCCAATGTCTGTAATCGTCAGCGTTGGAGCAACTAAAGCCAGGCTCCTGGAACTCTGTCTAGGTCTCCCAGGGTGGGAGGCAGTGGGACAGAGGCCCAAGTGCTCAAACCATTGTCCGCTGCCTTTCCAGACACATTAACAGGGAGCTGAACTGGAAGTGGAGTAGCTGAGACCTGAACCAAAACTCACATGGGATACTGGCGTTGTAGGTAGAGGCTTAACCCACAGCACTGCAACTCCAGTCTCCCGCCCAATAACCTATTTTAAAAAAATATTTTTATTGTAAAGGCAGATTTAAAGATAAGGAGATAGAGAAAGATTTTTTTTTTTTTTAAGATTTATTTTATTTTTGGGCCTGGTGACATGGCCTAGTGATAAAGTCCTCACCTTGAACATGCCGGTATCCCATATGAGCGCCAGTTCTAATCCCAGCAGCTCTACTTCCCAGCCAGCTCCCTGCTTGTGGCCTGGGAATGCAGTCGAGGATGGCCCAAAGCCTTGGGACCTTGCACCTGTGTGGGACACCCAGAAGAGGTTCTTGGATCCTGGCTTCAGATCAGCACAGCACCGGCCATTGCACCTGCTTGCGGAGTGAATCATTGAACGGAAGATCTTCCTTTCTGTCTTTCCTCTCTGTATATCTGACTTTGCAATAAAAATAAACAAATCTTAAAAAAAAAAAAAGAAACAAAAAAGGTCAGATATACAGAGAGGAGGAGAAAGAGGAAGATTTTCTGTCTGTTGATCTACTTCTCAAGTGGACACAATGGTCAGAATCTGAGCCGATCAGAATCCAGGAGCCAGAAAGCTCCTCTAAGACTCCCATATGGATGCAGGGTCCCAAGGCTTTGGGCCGTCCTTGACTGCCTTCCCAGGCCACAAGCAGGGAGCTGGATGGGAAGCAGGGCTGCCAGGATTAGAACCGGAGCCCATCTGAGATCCTGGTGTGTGTAAGGCAAGGACTTCAACTATTAGGCTACTGTGCTGTACTCAACCACTCATTTTTTTGTTTTTGTTTTTTTTACGATTTATTTATTTTTATGGGAAAGTCAGATATACACAGCAGAGGAGAGACAGAGGAAGATCTTCCATCCAATTATTCTCTCCCCAAATGGCCACAATGGTTTGAGCTGGGCCGATCTGAAGCTAGGAGCCTGGAGTTTCTTCAGGGTTTCCCATACGGTACAAGGTCCCAAGGCCTTGGGCCGTCCTTACTGCTTTCCCAGGCCACAAGCAGGGAGCTGGATGGAAAGCATAGTGGCTGGGATTAGAACCGGCTCCCATATGGGATTCCAGCGCGTACAAGGTGAGGACTTCAGCTGCTAGGCTACTGTACCAGGCCATCAACTACTCAAATTTTAAAGTATGCCACCCAAACCCTAGTTTGCCTTTAGCTTGCTCTCTCCCATATGGTTTACTACTCTTTCCTTCCCCTGACAATTGGAACCTAAGCTCTGTTGTTTTGCTCTCGTTTATTCACGGGCTTCAAACAGTGGTACTTTGCCGATTCTCTATTAAGTATACGATGGAAGAAAGGAAGGAAGGAGATTCCTTCTGAGATCGCCGCTTGTGGCCAGAAACCCTTGAGTCGCAAGGTACCACTTATGGGCAGAGGCCAGGAGAGGGACGTGCCCGCTGGGCAGGTGCGGGGAGGGCGCTGGGCGCTCGGAGAACTACATTTCCCGTGAAGCTCTGGGCGCGGCCCGCGAGGCCGCCGGGAAGGGCCGACGTGCGCCCAGCCAGGTCCTCAGCAGCCGGGATGGCGGCAGGTCAGCGAGGTGAGCTGTGCGACGCCTTTTGGCGAGTCGTTGCCTGGCAAGATCTGCCAGATCGAACCGCATCCCTCGCATTGCCCCGGGGCTCCTCTGAGAGATGGGTGGGCGTCGCACAGAGGGCGAGCACCTGCCCTTGGGGGAATTGCAGCCGTCTGGGGGTGCGGTGAGGGGCCGGGGGTTGTGCGCCGTCCCCCGGCTGCGCTGGCTTCCCCGGCCTGCATCTTCCAGCGCAGCTCTCCACTTAGGGCGGCAGCAGAGGGTGACCGCTGCTCATCTCACAGAGGGGACATGGAGGCGGGGCAGGCGGGAGGAATCTCAGCCCGCAACCGACAGCCCTCAGCGCGCGCCGGCGCCGGGTGTCCCGGGTCGGCAGGGGTCGGGTGCAGGCGCGTGGCAGCCGACCCCGTTTCCCCATCTGTGCTCACAGTCTTTGCGCTGTCCTGCGTGGTACAGCAGTATGCCTGGGGGAAGACAGGCTCCAACAGCGAGGTGGCGCGGCTGCTGGCCAGTAGTGACCCCTCGGTCCAGATCTCCGAGGACAAACCCTATGCCGAGGTGAGAGGGGAGGGCCTGGGCAGTGAGAGAGGTCAGCCGGACAGGGTGGGGATAAGGGGACAGGGTGGAGGAGGGTCTCTGGGCGTCCCTGTGTCCCCCTTGCTCCAGCAGCTGTCAGCACCTGTAGTTTTCATCGACTGACAATTCAAGTGTTTTTTACTTTGTGGTCTCCTTGTCAGACAGACAGGAGACACTCCAAAGGGTTAGTAATCCTTTGCTTCCATAGGGAGCGCTGTCAAGGGGCTGGGTCTGCCACTGCCTGTGTGTCCATGATGGTTCCTGCGCCAGCCTGACCCAGGGCCCAGCCGTCCTTGCTGTTGCCCCAGGGTTGGGTGTCTGTCCTGAAAGTCTGCGACTTCCAGGATCCTCTTGTCTTTCCAGCTATGGATGGGGACACACCCCCGGGGGGATGCCAAGATCCTGGACAGCGGCATGATGCCAAAAACCCTAGGTCAGTGGATCGCCGAGAACCAGGACAGCTTGGGCTCCAAGGTGCGGGCCACCTTCCACGGCCAGCTGCCTTTCCTCTTCAAAGTCCTCTCGGTGGAAACGGCTCTGTCCATCCAGGCACACCCCAACAAGGTAGAGGGGGTAGGGTGGGGCGGGGCGGGGTGGGTGGCAGGGGTCATGGCAGAGAAAGACAGTGTTGCCGGCTGCCCTTTTCTGCCCCCGTCGCAGGCTCCAGCCCAATGCTAAATCTAGATATGATGATTCCCAATTTAGCCCTGCAGGCCAGATGCTGGAGATGCGAAAGCGGCTAACTGCGCCAGGCCAGCTGGCCTGACCAGGGCCCAGGCATGCTTCGCTAAGCTCAGGCCTGAGGACGTGCTCCTGGTTTACTCCACTGCCCTACTCCCCACAAGACTGTCTGCCGCCTTCTCACCTGGCTGTCTGAAGGGTTCCACTTCCAGGGCAGGGGGACAGGGCTGTGGGGTCGTCCCAGATGGGCCTCTCAGTCCCTGCATGAACACTGGACCCCAGGCATGCAAAGACAGAGGCAGAGCAGGGAGCTACATGGCCCATTAGTGTTGGAGCTGGGCCTACCTCCTGCCCTGTGTGAGATTTGCTGCCAGCGTGGGCAGCCACTGGTATCTGAGGAACAAGGCTGTCCGTGATGGTCGTGTCCTAACCGTGCTCTCCCCCCTGGCCACCCCACCCACAGGAGCTGGCTGAGAGGCTGCACCTCCAGGCTCCCCAGCACTACCCTGATGCCAACCACAAGCCCGAGATGGCCATTGCTCTCACTCCCTTCCAGGGCCTGTGTGGCTTCCGGCCGGTGGAGGAGATTGTGGCCTTTCTGCAGAGTAAGGTTGGGCAGAATGCTCTGGGCATGCTCGCTGGGTCTGTGTGCATGGAGAGGGTGTTAGGCAGGGAGGTTCCCTGCCCTGCCTGTGCTGATCCGAGCCCGGTCTTCCCACAGAGGTTCCTGAGTTGCAGTTATTGATTGGAGATGCGGAGACTACGCAGCTGCAGCAGAGCGTGGACCGAGGACCCCAGGCCGTGGCCTCGGCTCTGCGAGGCTGCTTCTCCCAGCTGATGACCAGTGAGAAGAAAGCGGTGGTGGAGCAGCTCAAACTGCTGGTGATGCGTATCTCCCAGCAAGGTGGGCTGGGGCTAGGGGTCGGGGGTGGGTCCTGATGTGGTTGGCACCACCATGGCCTGTTGGCACTGCTAGGCCCTGGGTTTGGTGCTGCTTCCTGCAGTGGGGTATAGGTGGACTAGCCTGGAGGAAAACGGGACCACTCCTTTATCCTGCCCTGGGGCACTCTGAGCTCTGCCCCCCCACCTGCACGCATGAGCTTACACTTTGGGGCGCCAGAGCAGGAAGGGGGTCAGGGGAGCCTCCCTCTGCTCAGATCTGTTGCCTGGATTGCTCATGCATTAGCTTTTTCCTCCAACCTGCCCAACCTTGTGCTAACTAAGGAGAGGCCAGGAAGTGCCTGTGAGGGTGTGGCCATGTCCCCTTGGGCCAGAGTCCATTCCATGCTGGGGGTGAGTGGCACAGGTCCTCCTCCATAAGCCTTTGCTCAGAGTTCCCATAATGCACTGCTCACATGGGCACAGCCCATGGCTCCTGTGAGCAGGTATGTTGTTATGTGCACTTGTTAAAACTAAGGTTCTTCATCTTGGCTTTTTGAACTGGGGGATTCGTTCCTATGCATGGCAGAGCTAGCCATCAGCAGGTCCTTCTGTGCTTCTCAAGTAAGGTGGGTCATTTTCCCACCCCTGTGTGAGATGTGCCTCCTTTAGGCCTTGTACCAGGAGCACATGACCTGCCTGATATGGAACAGACATGTTGTGGCACTTAACCCATTTGGTATTCACCTGCTGGTGCTCGGCTCCCGTCTGCAGGCGGGGACATCTGGCTCAGCCCACCCTCAGCAGCCAGCACTCACCCCTCCGGCTCAGCCAAGCTCACCCTCTTGCTCAGTTCCCGGCCCACAGGCTGTCCCCTTGGCATGCTCTGCTCCTACAGTTAGCTAGCCCAGGACTGAGTCTGCCTGAGATGTGGGACTCTGAGTTTCTATGGATTCTCTGGGGGTCCCCCACGTGCACAGCCTGTGGATGGGTTTTCCCCTCGTAGATTCTGGGTCCCCAGGGCAGTGGTGTGCAGCCAGGGCACAGCTGCTGTCCCCAGGAGCCAGACCCAGATGGCAGCAGAGGGATGACCTCACAGTCCCTAGGAAGCATCCCCTCCACATTAAAGAACTATCTGGCTCCAAGCATTGCCAGTGCTGAGCAGGACCAAGCTCAACCCCTCTGAGTGACTGGTGTGTTGCCGGCCAGTGCTAGCCAATGCTGTAGTGAAAGATGGCATCGTGTGAGCTGGACAGGCTGGGACCGGGAGACCCCTTACACCCCCATGAGTGGCCATGGGGTGTGCTGTGGCCTCCAGTGTCTGCTGGGAACCACATGAAGGACATCCACGGGGAGCTCCTGCTGGAGCTGCACCAGCAGTACCCGGGGGACATCGGCTGCTTCGCCATCTACTTCCTGAACCTGCTCACCCTGCAGCCCGGCGAGGCCATGTTCCTGGAGGCCAACGTGCCCCATGCCTACCTGAAGGGAGGTGAGTCCTACTTCCACAGCGAGCAACTTCCCCACTCCCCCCAGGGTCAACTATCCAAGTCCATGTCCACATCTGAACAGAGAGGGAGGGAGGAGGCCTCATCTGAGCTCTGTCCTCCAAGGGTCCCTGGCTCAGCAAAGCACCAACCAGGAGGGATGGGCAGGTGCTACCTTAGTGTGGGGTGCCATTTGCATCTTCCCAGTTGGGTCCCAGGTTGCTCTGGGGTGAGGCCATTGGTTGTCTAGCTCATGTCCTCTGTCTTCCTGGGACTGTTGACAATACAGTACGCGTGTAGACACCCAGGGGCGCCTCAGTTTGCCAATGATCATCCATCCACTCAAACAGGGGATTTTAAACTTCTAAGCGTGGGAAGTCGCAGGGTCCAGGGCTGGGCCTCCCACCCCCGTGGTTAGGATGATGTCTATCACAAAGGTGGGTTGACATGTCACTTGCCATTCCCGCCATTTCAGCCCCATCCTAGGGAATGCTAGTCCTGTACCTTCAACTAGTTCTGCAGGGCATTCATAGAGCCGAGGCCAGGAGCCTAGAATCTCGCAAGCCATCTTCTGTGTGTTCCCAGACTGCGTGGAATGCATGGCATGTTCAGACAACACCGTGCGTGCCGGCCTCACTCCCAAGTTCATCGATGTGCCTACCTTGTGCCAGATGTTGAGCTATCGTCCCAGCCCCAGCCGGGACAGGCTCTTTGCCCCAACACGGAGTCAGGAAGATCCCTACCTCTCCATTTATGACCCCCCGGTGCCAGACTTCACTGTTATGAAGATGGAGGTGAGGGGCGTGCGGGCAGGGCAGGCGTCCTTCACGTGGCTTGAACCCTGGTGTGAAGTCCCCCTGGGCCTGACTTTCTTTCCTGTCCAGCTCACCTGTTGCCTAGTTGGGGTGGGGAGGGATGGGTAGATGTGTGGCCAGACCTGCCCACGCCTCTACAGATGCAGCTTCCGCTATCCTGGGGGTTGTCCTGCACCTGGGAACTGCCCATGCCGTGCTGTCTTACTGCTTCTTCCTGCCCAGGTCCCTGGCTCTGTCTCGGAGTACAAGGTGCTGCCACTGGACTCTGCCAGCATCCTCCTGATGGTGCAGGGGACGGTGATGGCCATCACACCCAGCGCCCCGGCAGCCATTGCCCTGCAGCGCGGTGGGGTGCTCTTCATTGGGGCCAACGAGAGTGTCTCCCTGCAGCTTACTGCACCCAAGGACCTACTCATGTTCCGGGCCTGTTGCCTGTTGTAAGAACCGGGCACCCTCGTGCCCAGCCCAGGCTCAGCACTGGACTGCGGACACACCCTTCCTAAGTAAGAGTAGAGGGGATGGGCTTGTTGTAGGTAACGAATCTAAAGCACTCTCAGGCTCACCATCTTTAGAGAGGAGAGCCCCATGTGCCAGCTGTTAGTCTCGCCAACATCTGGGCCAGGCCTCAGCTCAGAAGACAGCAGGCTTGCCCTGGCCTACAGTCAGGCTCTGGGTCAGCCTCTAAGGACAGTTGTCACTGTGGAGAAGGGGAGCTGGCGGTGTGCTGCCTGCCCCAAGCAATTAAAGGCCACCTGTGTGAGTGGTCCCTGTGTGGCTTTTGATATTCCTGTCCCTGGAGTGAACAGAAAGAGGCCCCTACCCTGGATCTTGTTTAGTTGGGAAATTTTACTGGAGAATTAGATTGCACCTGCTGGTTCACTCCCCATTTGCCCATGATAGGCAGGGCAGGGAGCTGGAACTCCATTAGGGTCTCCTGCATGGATTGTGGGAACCCAGTCATTGCCACTGCCTCCCGGGCTGTGTAGGCAGAAGTCAAGCTGGGACTGCAATGGGATGAGGGCATCTTATTTTAAAGGTTTGACTGAAGGAGTCACAGATAACTTGCATCCACTGGTTCACTGCAGATGCCACAACAGCTTATAGGCTGGGCCAGCTGAAGCTGGGAGCCAGAACTTCACCAAGTCTCACCTGTGGGTGACATGACACCAAGCACTTGAGCCCTGTTTACTGTCTTCTGAGGCACACTAGCAGGGAGTTAGATTGGTAGTGGAGCAGCCAGGACTTGAACCAGTGCTCCCAGGGGCTGTTAGCATGGCAGGCAGCGGCTTAAGCCTGTGTACCGTGCTGGCCCTACAGGAGGGCACCGTAACTGCTAGACTCAATGCCCACCCCCTTATCACTTTTGCTTTATTTCACATAGCCTCCTGGGGTTCTGGGTTCCAGGAACTTTTTGGGGTGGCAGTGGGAGGGGAGGCCAGCTGTAGCCTCCCTTACAGCCTTAGGCTCAGCACACACACCAGGTGCCAGTGTGAGGTTCTGCTGCTGTTGTGTAGGCCTGGGCACCACCTGCCAGTTTGCAGGCCACCTGAGTCACTGCTCCAAACCCAGCACCCCTGACCTTCAGCTCCATCCCAGGACCATTCAATTCCTAGGTTATAGGGCCTCAGGAGTGGACCCAGGAGAAAGGGACCCGACTCTCTTGAGCCACTGGGCAGTGCCTCAGGGTGTGGGTGAATCTGCCACCCTCTGCTGGTGGCTGCTACACAGGGCACTGCCCTGTAGCCTTAGGTTCTGTTACAGGCCCTGGGTGGGGTTAGACCCCTATGTGCTGGAGCCCCAGGAAGCTACCTCCGAAAAGTGCTTGGGTTTTTTTTTTTTTTTTGCCTCCAAATTCCCTTTAGTTAGGACAACAAAAATGAGCTAGAAAAGCAGCCTGCTCTAAGAAGTGACTGCAAAGGCTTGCTGCACTCACAGTGCAGGTCTCACAACCCGGCCAGCCCACGGGGAACAGCCCGGCACCCCAGGTATGCCTGCTGCAACAGGGACACCGCTCAAGCAGCAGGACTGCGTTTATTGTAACATACAGAGGCAGACGTGCGCAAGCCAAGTGTGAGGAGCAAACCCCGCCCAGGTGCTGTCCTACCTGCTGTCACTCAGCAGGGAGGTGTGATATGGGCATGGGGCACCTTCGTGGGTGGTAGTGTGGTCCCCCAGGCCTCACTGTGGTCACCCTGCTGCCTTTTCTATAAGGCTCAAAAGGGGCTGTCCACAGCAGCAGCCACCCAGGGGGCTTACCACTTTGGCTCATAGCAGCTACCTGGCACCCTGGCCACCTGCACCAGTGCCCGTCTAGCTGCTCTGACATCTACTTCCCACATGGGAACCTGGGCTCTGCAGAACCAGGAAGGCCTGATATGGACCTGCAGTTGGGCAACGATTCTGAGTGGAGGGGTATGAGCAGCTGGGTGGAGCTGCAGAAGCCCAGACCCCCAAGTGGCAGGCTCTGCTCTCAGCTCAGCTCCTCCTCCCTTTGACATAACCAGCAGGACAAGTAAGAATGGGCCTAGACACCAGGTAGTCCCTGTTATGGATTCCCCTCCTGAGATCAGCTGGCAGGTAACGGGGAAGCCTCTCCTGCTGGGTGACACTGAGCAAAGCCCTGTGGGCCCAATTTGCTGCTTTAGACTCCCTTGGGCCTTGCCCTGAGAACCCTGTCCAGAAACTATGTCCATGTGCTGTGCTATGCTGTCCCAGGGTTTGTGGGGTCCTGGGGATCTTGCAGGGCCCTCTGCTCTGGCATGTGGATTCCCTGGGGCAGGGCCTGCCTTATGTTCCCTGCCCCCCATCCTGTCTGCAAGTCCCAGGGTAAGCCTAAACCCATGCTGCATAGCAGCAGCATCGCTCATCTTAACAGCTGAAAAGGAAGGTGCCCTCTGCTGGTGACCAGAACAACCGCAGGTGTCCAGGGTTTGCAACACACAACCACCTTTGCACTGTGGCCAAGGAAATATAAATAAATAAGTGCATGACAGGACAGAGCAGCTCCTCTGTAGCTGGGGAGGAGCTGAACAGTCACTACACCCAGTCACAGGCTGTCCCAGTTGGGACAACTCCAAGCCTGGGGGTTCTGGAAGCCATGGGGCAGCCTGCTGTGTTCCTACCACAGCCAGGCAGGTACAAGCTGAAGGAGGGTACGTGAGATTTCAGGAACTGGGTCCCAACAGTTCCATTCTCAGCTGAACCCACAAAGCGCCACTGGCCACCACACAGCACACCAGGCCCGGGCCTGGCCACCTTCCTTTGCCCTCCCTGAGCTTGTCGTGTTGAAGTGAGTCAGGAGGTCTGCAGTGCTTTCCTCAGAAGCTTCTGCCCTCAGTGGCTTCTCGGAGGTCTGACCTTGAACTCCACCTGCCCGTCCGTGGCCCCCACAGGCCTTCTGGACTGAGAGGTACCAGAGAGGGGACAGCATAGGTCAGCAACTCCGAAGCTGCCAGGTGGCAGCGGCCCTGTCAGGCTGTGGGCAGGCAGGGGTCCCAGGGAGGGTCACGCCTACTGGAGGGTGCAGGCGGAGTCCCCGGGACAGCACCAGCAGCAGGAGCAAGCCGAGGCGGCCACGGGCTTCGGGGGGATGAGGTCCAAGTCTTCGTCATCAGGAATCTCATCCAGGTGGTAGCCATCCTGGAGCAGCTGCCGGCTCACATCCTGGTTCACCTGCTAAGAGTGGAGGAGGGAACCATAAGCCAAGAGGCAAAGCAGAAGTGACTGCTGCTGGGGAGCAGGCCTGCATCCCACTGTGACCACTAGGACTTCCTGTCCACACAGCCCTGGGCTGCAGGAAAAAGGGACACCCAGGAGCTCCAGCTGGCACTGTCCAGGCTGCACTGCCCACCCCGCCCCCAACCACTGAACTGTTCCACTGAAGAACCCTGGGGTGCTGATGGGATTATCACAGTGCCCCTACCATCCCAAGCGCTGAGGCAGACAGAATGGGCTGGAGTGCTGTGTGCACTGCGGCCCTCCCTGTGCAGGGTGGAACCAGTCAGCCTGGTTTGAGCAGGAGGGAAAAAAACGTAGCTTTCTTGTGGCCCAGGCGCAAGACTGAACAATCTCAAGACACTTAGAAATCCAAAGTCCAGCAGAAGACAGGAAACAGCTGGTCTGGACAGCCCTGCCCGAATTCCCAAAGGAGGGATGACACGGGAGACACAAACTGGCCCTGAAGGAACACAGCTTGGTGGCACAGGGGCAGGAGCGGGCCAGGAATGCCGACCCCAAGAATCCTGGGAGGCCAGCAGCACATAGCTGGGTGCCCAGACCTGAGTCCTGGCCCCAGCCCCATCCCAGCTTCCTGCTAACGTGTCCTGGGGGGCCAGCAGGTGACACACCCAGGTGGGAGATTCAGAGTTCCCATCTCCCAGCTTTGGCGTGGCCTGCCCTCTGCTGCCGTAGGCATCTGGGGAATAAACCAAGTGATAGGAGATGTGTGTATGTATCTTTGTACATTTCAGATAACTTTTCAAAACAACTGAAAAGTGGCTAGGGTTACTGTGTGCTGCTGGAAGGCAAGCCTAGGCCCCGTCAGTCCAGGCTGCATTTGGGAACAGCTGCGATGAACAAGGCTTGTCCACCTCCAAAGAGGGTTGGGGTGGGCAGTGGAAGTGGGGAGCACTCCATCACAACAAGCACTCAAGCAAGTGATGGGAAGATTCCTAAGGTGTGGCCTGGACACTGCCAGCCTGGAGGGTTTTTCCACAGCCTTTCTCGGTGCCTTATACTTCTGCTGGGGCAAGAGGGCAGAGTGGAGGACTGGAGAACAGAACGGAAGCCCTGGGACAGCGCCGTGCGCCCACGGCAGGCACCACACAAGCCCCTGGCAGTGGCGGCGCCCCCCGCAGCGGGGCGCCCTGGACTTGCCTCTGAGGAGGAGTACCCGGACGAGCATCTGGATCCCAGCTCCCCGTCGCTACAAGAGGAGACAGTTCACGGTGGGCAGCGGGCAGGAGGAGTGTGGGGGCAGCCCAGACCGCGCCCCGCGGACACCCATGGGAACAGGGACGATCCCACCCACACCCTCCCCGCCAGGTCCTGCAGGAGCCCAGCCACTCTGACCCGGGCGCGCCAAGGCGGCGACAACCAAGCCCGAGGGACGCAGACGACCACTCACCTGTCCGAGTCCAGGGACACCAGGTTTTCATCCGGACACTGACTCAGAGCGGTGTAGCCCTTGTTAAACTTCACGGGCCTGGCGAGGGCGAGATGGGGAGGAGGCCAAGCACAGATGAAAGCGCCGGCCTTCCCCCTGGGGAAGCCAGAGGCCTCGTCTTCCCGGGAAAAGGGCCCACTCCCGGAGATCCAGCCCCCGGGAAGAGGCCCTCCAGCTCACCCCCTCCCGGCCCCACATCCCCGCCTCACTTAGGTCCTCCCGCAAATGTGTCAAACGCATGCAAGCGGACCTGCTCCCATCCAGCCCCCAGGACGCCCGGGCCTCCACGCCCCTCCCTGGCCGGCGGCAGCCGGACACCCCCGTCCGGGCAGGGCCCGCCGAGACCTTCTCCCTGCAGAGTCGGGCCGTCCCGCCGGGGCCCCCAGGACGCCTTTCCGCCGCAGCACGGCCTTGGCCAGGTCCCGGTGCTTCTCTGGAAGTTGAAGGGACCCGGGTCAGCCGGACGGCCCCCAGGCGGGGTGGAGAGGGCTGAGCCCCTCTCCCTGTGCCGAGCCCCTCTGGAGACCCTTCCCCGGACCGCCGCACACTCACGCAGCTTGGCCTGAAGGGAAGGCGCGCGCGCCACCATGTAGGGCCCTCGCTTCTCCACGGCCGCCGGAGTGCGCTCTCCCGCACGCAGGGGTCCGCTGCCGCTCCGCCCGAGGGCCGGCCCCGCCGCTCCCGCAGCGCGCGCCGGGACCCCGCCGGGCCGGGCTCCGGGAGCCGACGGCCGCGCCCCGCGCACGCCGGGATCCGCGGTCGCCATGGCTCGGCTCCTCCCCGCGGCCGGCGGCGCGGCCTTCACGGCGGCACAGGCCCCGCCCACGCCTGACGTGACCCGGCCCACAGCGGACAGCGCGGCCCCGCCCACAACAGACGAGCCCCGCCCACAGCTGACGTGACCCGGCCCACAGCGGACAGCGCGGCCCCGCCCACAACAGACGAGCCCCGCCCACAGCTGACGTGACCCGGCCTACAGCGGACAGCGCGGCCTTCACGGCCACACACGGCCCCGCCCACAGCCGACGTGGGCCCGCCCACTGCTGACGAGCCATGCCGCGCGGGGCGGGGCCCGCCACGGCAAGATGGCGGCGTACGAGTATTTTCTTCGTCTGCTGTAGGGGGGATATCTCCCCTAAGGTTCCGCTTCTCGAGGGACTGGGCTGTTCCGGGTCCGCTTGTCCCACGAGTCGGGACACCTTCAGAACTGCGGAGGATGACCGTCTCCCATGGAAACAGGCGTTTAGGCTCTGATGTGCACGCGCTCTCCCCGCTCCTCGCGGCGTGCGCCGGGCGAGAGGGAAGAGCCGCTGCGGAGCTGGGACTCCCAAGAGGACGCTGGAGGCGCCGGGGAGCCGGCTGCAGGTCTTGGCGCCTTGCTCTGCCTCCGCGGGGCAGGTGAAGCTTGCACCCTCGGAGTCCCGCGGGGGTGTCTCAGCCGGCTGGGGCACAGGAAGGACCTATCCCAGGGCCGGCTGGGTGGAGCAAGGGGACCACCTGCAAGACTCCAGAAACACCGATATCGCGTGACACAGACTTATTCCTCATGCCCTCGGGTCACACAATAGGGTTCAGCCTGGCCAGGTGGAAAATGCAACACCCGCTTCCTATGTCTGTGCGCCTGTGAGACGGATGAGGGAAACGGGAGCCGACCCCACTTGCTGCTGCATTCACTAGTGGCTGCTCTGTGATGGAACATGGGGAAGCCTGAAAACTGCCTGAAGTGCACAGGCCTGTCCTGTGGCGGAGCGCGTTAAGCCAGAGCCGGCATTCAGCATCCTAGCCCGAGCCTGGAGCCCTGGCTGCTCCACTTAGCATCCAGCTCCTGCTAATGGGTCTAGGGAAGCAGTGTCCAAGAGCTGGGGTCCCTGCCATGCACTTGGGACACTCGGTGTTCTCCTCCACTCCTGGCTTTGGTTAACCTGACCCAGCCCAGGCTGTTGTGGCCACTTGGACCATGTTGGCCACTCGCAAATCTTCAGAACCAGCACAGTGATCTCATAGGATAATCTGCATTTAATGTCAACACTGCATTCCGCTGCTGGTTCCTGTGCTGGCTGCTCTTAACTCCTGATCCAGCTCCCATCTACAGCTTGGGAAAGCAGTGGGAAGTGGAGGATGGCTCATGTTCTTGGGCCTCTGCACCCATGTGGGACACCCCAAAAAACCACTGGCTCCCAGCTTTGCACTGGCTCAGCTTCAGCCATTGCGGACATTTGAGGAGTGAAACAATTGGATCGATGATATCTGTAAACCTGCCTTTCCAATGAAGAGAAAAAAAACATTACAAAACAAAAAATTGGGACCACTGTAAGGGTTCAATGGCTGAACCCTTACCTTCCAAGTGCTGGGATGCCATATGGGTGCTGTTTTGTGTCCCAGTTGCTCCTCTTTCCATTCAGCTCCCAGCTTATGACTTAGGAAAGTAGTGGAGGATGGCCAAAGCCTAGGGACCCAGGACCCGCATGGGAGACCTGCAAGAAACTCTTGGCTCCTGATCAGCTCAACTATGGCTGTTGTGGCTGTTTCAGAAGTAAATTGGTGAGTGGAGGATTTGTCTCTCCACAGCTGGGGAACGTCTCCTCGCCCTTGCTAAGTGGAAGGTGGACGCCAGGCAGCTAGGACAAGCTCCGCAGTGTCTGGTTAACCTGGTAATAGGGAAGGGCTGTAGTGACGGCCGGAACATGATCATTTTCCTTATGCTTCATTTCCATCACAATCTCACCAGGAAGCTACAGGAAGGGCAGGTCCCATGGACCACAGGGCTACTGCTGCTCCTACAGCAGGCACCCACAGAGCCGGATAAAAAATCTTTACAATGCAGGCACTCATGCTGGAGCTCACCAAGCTGGACCGTTGTGTCCACTGGAATTAGAGAGCAGGTGGGGCTTCAGCTTGACACCAGTACAGTCAGTCACCCATCCTGGGACAGAACCCTGACAGTGACTCCAAACTCCCTGAAGTAATGGGAGTCAACAAGATAACTAGAAGCCTGTCCCACACACAAGCCCCAAGAATGGCCCTTATCTAAGATCAGGAGTGGGGGGCAGTGCTTGGTGCACTAGGTTAGCTCTGGGCCATCACTGCCTAGCTTCACACATAAACCCTCCATCCTGGCCTGGGGACAGGGACCCGGGTCCTGTGGCCACCAGACCACACAGGTAACCCCCTCTGTGTAATCCCGGATGTACGCTCTTTCCTGGGTCCTGCCTCTTCCATAGCAAAGCATAGACAGCCTCCTTGCCCAGAGTCCCTGCTCAGGAGGTCAGATGAAATTCCTGCTCTCATAATTCTCTCACCAAGAAAGGAACCCATGCCTGCGCTTCACATGTGCCAGCATCCCATATGGATGTGGTTCATGTCCCAGCTGCTTCCTTCCCATCCAGCTCCCTGTTTGTGGCCTGGGAAGGCAGTCGAGGTTGGCCCAAAGCCTTGGGACCCTGCACGCACCCATGTGGGAGACCCAGAAGAGGCTCCTGGCTTGAGGTCGGCTCAGTTCTAGCTATTGAAGCTACTTGGGGAATGAACCAGTGGATGGAAGATATTTCTGTCTCTCCTTCTCTCTGTAAGTCTGCTTTTCCCATAAAAATAACAAAATTTTTAAGGAAACAAAAAACAAAACAACAGCAGCAGCAAACACGAACAACCTGTCAGCACTTTTATCTTCTGCTTCTCAATGCAAAAACACAGGATGACGTGTGGGTTCAGTTCAAACTCATTTCCCGTTTATTAAAGTTCACATTGCCATAACATGGTTTAGCACTCAATAAAGGAAAACGGGTCTGAATAAGGTAATATGTTATCATCAGTATTTCCAGGTGCCGGTTACAATCAAGTAGTAATACCAGGAAGTGCTTGGGAACTACCTGGAAGAGAAAGCATAAAGAATTAGCCAGGAAAGTGCAGAGAGAAGGTGCACCTCTGATGGAAACTACCGGGGTGTGGCTGGGCCAGCAGCCACTCTGATGCCAGTCTTACCTGTGACCGAGCCACGTGGCCTAACGAACACCCTGGTGCTGGCCCATCTTTTCCATCAGAAAGTGTTCAGCAATTGCCCTCTTCTGAAACAGATTTTTTTCATACACACACCCGTGGCTAGACTGTATCTTATGTGAAGATGTCCTGTACTCCAGATAAACTCACTTAGCTGAGCATGGCTGAGTCCCCCGGGGAGAGACCACCATGCAGCAGGCACCACAGGCAGGAGCTGCAGCCTTCTAACTGGAAAAGCCTTCACTCTGAGGGCCTGTGTGTTCTCTCCACGTCCTCACTGAGAGCTTCAGAACAACACAAACCTTGAAGGTGTGTAGGAGGACATTGTGACCCTTGAGGGCAGGATTACAGTTGATTGGACAATATTTGGACAACTGAATGGGTGCCTTTTGTGACTGACTGGATATCCTCTGCATGAGAACCATGGAATGACTACCTTTTGTATACCTGATGGGATATCACTTGTATAAAGTATGTGTATGAGAACACTTGGTGGAACATACAAGACACAAGGACTTCCAAACAAAAGCATAGAAACAGTTGATGGGTTTGTTGATGAGCTCAATACCTCCACCCTAGTCCTATAGGACCCTCAGTTTATAAAGTCTGTTGCCCCGAATAAATTTCGGCTATTGATCATCAGTCAGTAGTCCACGCGTGTTATTATCGGCTCCGTGCACCAATTCTATCGCTGCAGGACAGTGACAAAGGTACTCAACGAGAACTTGGGGATCCCAGCAGATGTGCTGGGGTGTGTGGACAAGGACAAAATGAAAAGACCCCACTGCCTTACGACAGGCATCAAGAAGGATTCCCCAAAGTAGATGACACAGCTCTTGCATTTTCTGCTTGGTCGGCTGGCCTGGAGACTGTTGGGAGGATCGGGAGCTCGGAGTTCTGGAGGTGTGTTAGAGGTGCTTGCTAGCTGCAAGCTCCCAACCCAGCCCCAGCCCGCTGCCTCCTGAACAATCTGATGTTAGCTTCCTGATGAACTTTTTTCCACTGAAGCAGAAACTTCTGACAGAACAGTTTAGTTCCACCTTTAAAAATAAATTTCCTCTGGCTCTGAGGAAGCAGGTCCTCCCCTTTACAGCAGCGTGGTAGGTCAAGAGCCCAGTCCTGAAACACTCGTCCGAGATGCCCCGCGTAGGGAGGGTGCAAGGGCCCCTGACTCAGGGTGCTGCCCACATCCTGCCCCTGGAACCCTCCACCCCAACCTCGCAAGGGCACTCCCGTCTCCTCAGTGAAACAGTAACAGAGCCCCCCCCCCCCAGGACTGGCAGCTGGTTCACACCAGGGGCACTCCACACAGTGCCTGGCACAGTCACAGCTATAGACACTGCATGTGCTTATTTAATAAAAACACAGCTTGCTGGGCCCGGCGGTGTGGCCTAGCGGCTAAAGTCCTCGCCTTGAACACGCCAGGATCCCATATGGGCACCGGTTCTAATCCCGGCGACTCCACTTCCCATCCAGCTCCCTGCTTGTGGCCTGGGAAAGCAGTCGAGGACGGCCCAAAGCCTTGGGACCCTGCACCCGTGTGGGAGACCTGGAAGAGGTTCCTGGTTCCTGGCTTCGGATCGGCGCAGTACCGGCCGTTGTGCTCACTTGGGGAGTGAATCATTGGACGGAGGATCTTCCTTCCTGTCTCTCCTCCTCTCTGTATATCTGACTTTGTAATAAAAATAAATAAATCTTAAAAAAAAAAAAAAAAAAAAACAGCTTGCTGCTCACATTTTTGTTTTATGAACAATTTTCCACACCCCTACTGCCTAAATAATCCTGTGACTGCTTTTATTACCTAATCTCTTTCTATAGACAATAAGATATCAAGGGAGTTTTATTCAATGATGGATATTTACTTGACCTTAAATTCTAATGTGAATGTTCTTTATCAAAGTTCATGTTAAGGCTGATATTTACGAGCCCAGTCATTTCTTGTGAGATAGGAGGGAGATAATGAAGGGACTCAAAGGAAACATGGCAGTAACACCTGGAGACCTCAGTGTGGGACAGGGCCCACACCCTGCCATCTGTGCTTCCCTTCATGCCTCAACATTTGATATGCACTTCTTTAGGTAGGGCAGCTTGTACTTGCCTTACTGGAAACCATGGTTGCAGCTCCCTGCATTGCACCCTGCCACTCTCACCCCTGCGTGCTCAGGCAGCCCCCTGCCAAGGCCTGGCAGTGCTCACACTGAGCAGCCGGCTCCGCTCCACCCTCCGTCCATGGCGACCAGAGGCTTACTCACAGGGGCTTACACCTTGTCTAGGCCCAGCTCCTCTGGAGTAGAAATTCCCAGCTCATTTAAAGTTGGTCTCAGTTCTTGGATGACATAGGGGTAGATTTCTTTATGAGGTCCCGCTTTGTCCTGGCCAAGAGAGAGAACAGTCACATTTCAGTGTCTGAGAGGTGAGATGAACTTCCGCTGATCACAGGTGCACAGGTGAGCAGCACAGCACACTTTAATGAACTTCCATCTGCCCGTGCCCACAGAGACGGCCATCCTAGAGAGGTACTGCTTATAGCAGGTGTTAAGATGCCCAGAGAGGAACAGACAATTGGATGAAACCCACAGAGTATCTGCAAGCCTGGAATTCCTAGGAAAGAATGTGGTGATGACAGAACTCTACAGTGGTAATTGAGCATGCCTGGCAGGCAACAGCGATAATTAAGTTAACACAGGAAAAGTGTTTTTGTAATTTGCCTCCAATTTGAAATCTTAACTGAATTAGCCCCCAGTGCTGAGCGCACTGACAGCCTACAGACCCCTGGCACTGGGGTGAAGGCAGGCCCCTCCCCGACTCACAGAGCAGCCGCTCCAGTTCCCGGGGAGCTGCAGGGACCACAGTGCCTGGCGCTCACACCTGTGTTGGCGCATACTCCCTCAGCAGCAAATGTGAAAAAGAGAAATGAGCCATGAAGCAGCAGCTGTTCCTCTGCCTGCGTGACTTCTAGGCCTCCTCGACTGCATTCTTACAAGTAGATTTTTCCTTACAATGCACAGTATGTGCCATAATTTTGGTCGTGGTCCCTTTTGTTTTTGATTAAAAAAAAAAAAGTATGCTCTCAGGCCATGAGAAACAATGCCTTATATGTGCTCCATAGAGGGAATTAAACAAAATCTGAACAAAAGGGAAAGGAGTTGTATACAAGAGTGCTTGTAAACGTGTGGAAGATGGAATTGAACATGCTATTTTGATGGGAAAAAAATCTGCAGTACAAGGATAATTCTTTAATGTGCATTTCCCTTGAAATGCCTGAAGGTCCCTGCTGACAGCTGCGCAGAAACACCCACCCCGGGAGGCCTCATCCTCAGAAGCACAACAGCATTCTGACACCTGACCAACAACCAAACCGGCTTCCAGAACAGTAGTGACACTGACCTTAACAACCTCTAGGATGCGAACTGCACTAGCAAAATCATTCAACCGTCTGCACGCCCGCAAAGCAGCATCAATGATCTTGGGTTCTGGCACCAGATCATAGCCAACAAGTGTGTTCATCCCTGTCAAAAAAAAAAAAAGGGAAGGGCTGGTCAGCGAGGACTTTCCTCAGGTCAACAGCAATAGAGCTGCCCCATCTGTGCCTAGGAACAGCCATGCAACTTCACCCACTGGGGCCCTCTTTGCTTCTGAACATCACCAGGTGATGGCACCACAGGGGACCCTCCGCAGGGAGTCACCTGGGAGACACCTGGTTCTTTCCAAACAAGAGGGTCACTTCCAATTCAGATCTCTAACTTCCAAACCAAGTGTCGATTTGGGAAGCCTTAAAAAAGATTCAACTTGCGCCACCGGGATCCCATATGGGCGCCGGTTCTAATCCCGGCAGCCCCGCTTCCCTTCCAGCTCCCTGCCTGTGGCCTGGGAAAGCAGTTGAGGACGGCCCAAAGCTTTGGGACCCTGCACCCGCGTGGGAGACCCGGAAGAGGCTCCTGGCTTCGGATCGGCATAGTATCGACCCGTTGCGGCTCACTTGGGGAGTGAATCATCGGATGGAAGATCTTCCTCTCTGTATCTCCTCTCTGTATATCCGCCTTTCCAATAAAAAAAAAAAAAAATAATAAAAATAAATCTTTAAAAAAAGATTCAACTGGAAAGAGATCTAAAAACAGTGAGAGACCTGCTGAAAGAGAGAGTTAATGCAGCCTGCACGAGGACATTAAGGGGATGCTAAAGAGACACATTAGAGCACAGACTCCAACACATTCAAATCTCAGGGCCTCATTACCTGCTCTCTGCTCAAATGACACATCTAAGGTCTTGTTTCGGACAGGCACACCTGCCTCCCTCACTCCGCTCAAGATTATTCTTTAGGTCTCCCCTGGTTACAGCGCTAAGGAGTCATGACATTGCGATAGGCAGGTGGAAGCACTGAGATTTGCTGTCGTGGGCATCCTAACAGTATTTACCTGAAGGAGCAGGCGATGCTAGGATGTTGAAGTTTTAGTCTGACATAAATCACCCAATATTTAAAAATCAATGACTACTTATTAGTCACATCACTTACTCACATTAAATACTCAAGTACTGACTGATGAAAAATCCAGACCATTATCCACAGGGAAAATGACAGATGACTGTGTAGAAAGCTGTGACCTGAGGGCTCACCCAGTTCTGTCACTCAGCTGCTCTCTTCTGATTTATTCTTATTGGAAAGGTAGATTTGCAGAGAGAAAGAAAGACAGAGAAAGATCACTCTCCAAATGACCACAATGCTCAGAACTGAAGCCATCTGGTACCAGAAGCCTCTTCTCCAGGTCTCCCACACGGGTGCAGGGCCCCAAGGCTTTGGACCATCCTCAGCTTCTTTCCCAGGCCACAAGCAGGGAGCTGGATGGGAAGTGCAGCAGCTGGGACAGGAACCGGTGCCCCAATGGAATCCCAGAGATTGAAAGGGGAGAATTAGTCAATTGAACCATTGCACTGAGCCCTGTAGCAACTGTTTTCAATCAGCGGTGGTTTCATTCGCCAGGGACACTGGGCAGTATAGACACATTTTTGATTGTCATAAAAATGCACCCAGCAGGTAGAAGGCAGCACTATCACCAAAATGTTACCATGCAAAAAAAAAAAAAAAAAAAAAAAAAAAATAGCCTCCTACAAGAAAGAACTTTCTGGCCCCAAATGCCAACAGCACCTGCTACAAACCCATTGCATTCCTGGCCTATCCTCACTTCCCATCCTGCTCCCTGCTGGTGGGCCTGGGAAGCAGATGCTGATGGCAGAAATCCTTGGGCTCCTGACACCTACATGGGAAACCCACATGGAGGTCCAGGCTTCAGATTTCAATGGTACAAGCATCTGGGCAAAGAACTGGTGGATAGAAGTGGCTCTCAGTCTCCTCCTTTCGGCCATTCTACCTTTCAAATAAAAGCATATTTTAAAAACAAACAGGGCCCAAAGCGATGGCTCAATTGGCTAATCCTCCCCTTGCAAATATCAGCATCCTAAATGGGCACTGGTTTGTGTCCTGGCTGTTCCACTTTCAATCCAGCTCACTGCTAATGGCCTGGCAAAGCAGTAGAAGATGGCCCATGTCCATAGCCCCCTGCATCCATTTAGGAGACCCAGAAGAACCTCAAGGCTCACAAGTTCAGATTGGCTCAGCTCCGGTCACTGTGGCCATCTGGGAAGTGACCCAGTGGACAGAAGATTTCTCTTGTCTCTCCTTCTGTCACTTTGCCTTTCCAAAAAAAAAAACACCACAAAACTAGATTTATATCTATCTATATATACACACACATATAAGAGAGATACACTTTCCTAACGACAAGCCGCAGGACAGCAAGCAGTTTACACAATGCACATTTTTTAATAAAGCAGTGGAAACAGCTAGCACTTGCACACCAAAGAGCTTCACGTACCTTTGCGGAGTTCCCAGGCATCTATGTCTGGCTTGTTGAAGTACGTCACCCAGCGAGCATCGAACTCCTCGTCCGTCTCATGTGAGCCATGGGAGTAGCAGCGGGCGGCCTGCAGCGCTGTAACACAAAGTGCAGCCCCATGAGAGCTTGGCACAGCCCTCACCTCCCACAGTGCATGACAGCCGTGAGTCGCCCCACGTGCTGTGGCCAATGGAAAGAACTCCCGCGCACTGATGGAGGAGACGCCTGTACAATGCAGCACACAGGCGCTGCTGCACAGTCCTTAAACAGCCATCCGCGAAGCAGGCTTCTTATACGGAGCGTCAGTTCGAGTCCTGCTTACTCTGCCTCCAACTCAGCTTCCAGCTAAAGCTCTTGGGAAAGAACGGTAGATAGTTCCAATACCTGGGCCCTGCCACCCATATGGGACACCCAGATGCAGCTCCTGGCTTTGGCGTGGCCCAGTCCTGGCTGCTGCATTTTGGGGAGTGAACCATCAGATGAAGAGCTCTTTCTCTGTCACTGACATAAATAAATAGATACACACATAACTCTTATACATTAACCGGGCCTGTGGTGGCATAGGGGGTAAAGCTGCCGTCTGTGGTGCCCAGCTTAAGTCCCAGCTGCTCTCCTCTGATCCAGCTCCCTGATAATCTGCCTGGTAAGCAGAGGAAGATGGCCCCAGTCCTTGGATCCCTGCCCCCACATGGGAGACCCCAGGGAAGTTCCTGCCTTCAGAGGAGTCCAGCTCTGGCCACTAAAGTCAGCTGGGGAGAGAAACGGTGGATGAAGGCTATTCTCACCTGCCCCTCCTCGGTGATTCTGCCCTCAAGTAGGTAAATAAATGTCTCTCTTAAGGTGTATTTATTATTTACCATGACAGTCTCATAGGGCTTCCCCTCCCTTTTTTTCTTCCCCATCCCCCCCCCCACTATTATTCCCTGAATTATCACAATAGTCTCTCAGTAACAGCTACAAGATCAACTTGCTGATAAAATAATCTTAAAAAAAAATAAGAACAGTAAATAGAAGAAAAGCTATTACAGAAATATATTTGTTATGTTTCTGCTACATACGGAATACTAGCTTCATATTGTTAATAATGGCTATCTTTAGGAAGGAAAACTTTGGCTTTTTAAAAATACTCATCTGGGGGGCCCAGCAAGATAACATAGTGGTTAAAGTCCTCGCCTAGAACGCACCAGGATCCCATATGGGTGCTGGTTCACATCCTGGCAGCCCCGTTTCCCATCCAGTTCCCCACTTGTGGTCTGGGAAAGCAAAGCTTTGGGACCCTGAACCCATGTGGAAGACCAGGAAGAAGCTCCTGGCTCCTGCCTTCAGATCGGCACAGCACCGGCCATTGCGCTCACTTGGGGAGTGAATCATCAGACGGAAGATCTTCCTCCTCTGTCTCTCCTCCTCTCTGTATATCTGACTTTGTAACTTTGTAATGAAAATAAATAATTCTTAAAAAAAAAAAAAAGGAATGTGGGCTCCAGTACAGCAGCACCGGCAGGCTGGAGTGATGACCCCAACACGGTCCTCACTCTTGCTCCTTCTTGGCCCAAGTACGTATGCTCATTCATCCCAGTGATCAAACTTACTGATGGCCAAACTCTAGCTCCCTTGAAGGACCTTCCTTCGAGAATAGCTTGCAGGGGTGTCATTCACTGGTGAGGCAGAAGAGGGACTTCCTCCCTCAACTTCCCATGAAGGGGTGAAAATCTCCGAGGTGAGGGATCACTGAAACGGCCAGAGGGGAGCTGTCAGGACAGCCTCCGGGCTGCTGCTAAGTCCTGCCCCAGTTAACGCTGGCATCCCGTCTGGGAACACCAGTTCCAGTCCCAGGTGCTGCACTTTTGATCAGAAGATTGCCCGTTGGGAGACCGAGCTGGGGCTTCGGGCTGCGATGGCCGAAGCTGTGCCAGGCTGAAGCCATCTGGGGAGTGAACAGCAGGTGGAAGAACTGCCTCTCCCTTTCAAAGAAAGAAAATAAATCTTAAGGCGGGGTGGGGGTGGGAGGGACTGCTGACTCCATTCCCACAATGTCCTCCAGCCTATCACAAGACCATCCCAATCAAACCATCACGGCTCTCACGCCTCTCCACTACACACCTGACGGCACACTACTTCACGAAAAGCCCAGAAACTGGGCAGTCACCAAATTCCTGGAAAACTATGCCCAAAGCACAACCCCCCACAGCTCCAGAAGACCCAAAATGATGGCTGCGAGCTGGAAGCAGCAGCCAAGCCCCTTCCCTCCCTGGGCAGTGGTCCGAGTCCTGGCCATTCCACCTTGAAACCAGCTCACTGGGCAAGAACCTGGGAAACATGAGCTCCTGACCCTGGCCAGTCCTGGCCTTTGTGGCCATCCGGCAAATAAAACAGTGATGGGAGGAGATCTCTCTCCCCTTCTGCCATACAAAAAGGCTTTTTTTCTGTTTAATTTTTTCCCTCAAAACATTATCCTCCTCATTATATTCCAAAATAAACTGAACATCCCAACAAAGCAATGGTAATTTTAGATGATTTTACCAGGGCCTGGTGCTGTGCCCCATTACTAATCCTCCTCCTTGAAAACACTGGGATCGCATACAGGTGCTGGTCCATATCGTGCCTGCCCCGCTTCCCTTCCAGCTCCCTGCCTGTGGCCTGGGAAAGCAGTTGAGGATGGCCCAAAGCCTTGGGATCCTGCACCTGCATAGGTGACCCAGAAGAAGCTCCTGACTCCTGGCTTCAGATTGACACAGCACCAGCCATTGCGGTCACTTGGGGAATGAATCAGTGGATGGAAGATCTTCCTCTCGGTCTCTGTATATCTGTCTTTCCAACGGAAAAAAAAAAAAAAAAACCTGATCTTCTACTTAATAAAAATCAGTTTACAGAAACAAAACATATGAATTGCATTTCCAATTATCTGTGCTACACAAATTTGGTATAAATTCGAGCTTATATGTGAGGCTTAATATGTTTTTATAAAAATCTCACCAAAAAACATCTCAATAGGTGGTTCTAAAGAACAGAACATGGTGGAATCTAACAGGAAGAATCTGAGCATTCAGGATACTGCAAGCAACAGTGAGGGACAGAGGAGGGCGGAGGCAGGATGCTGGAGTGACCGTCACTGCTAGAGCAGGTGGGAGATCTGATTGAAATCACCACTTAGAACCCACAAAGTCAGACCCAGCATAGCAGCTAAAATCCTTGCCTTGAACGCGCTGGGATCCCATATGGGCACTGGTTCTAATCCCGGCAGCGCCACTGCCCATCCAGCTCCCTGCCTGTAGCTCAGCAAAACAGTTGAGGACGGCCCAAAGCCTTGGGACCCTACACCCCTGTGGAAGACCCAGAAGAGGCTCCTGGCTCCGGATTGGCTCAGCACCAGCTGTTGCGGCCGCCTGGGGAGTGAACCATTGGATGAAAGCTCTCTCCTTCCTCCTCTCTGTATATCTGCCTTTCCAATAAAAATATAAATCTTAAAAAAAAAAAAAAAAAAGAACCACACAGTCTCTGATCTTACCAGAGAGCTAACTTCCCACACGCCATGTGCAAGCAAACCAGGACTCATGTACACAAATGGATACATTAAAAAAAATCTTTTTTAATTTTTTAAGATTTAATGCTGGCTCACTCCCCAGATGGCCATGTAGTCAAGACTGGGCCACACTGAGGTCAGCAGCCAGCAGTTCCATCAGGTCACCCATGGCGGCAGGGGCCCTAGCACTGTTATCATGTGGGAGCTGGTTCTGAAATGGAGCAACTGGGACCCTGAGGCAGGGGGCTCAAACAGCTAATCCTCACTCTCAAATGCTGGGATCCCATACAGGTGGCAGTCTGTGTTCCAGCTGCTCTTCTTCCCTTCCAGCTCCCCACTTGTGGCCTGGGAAAGCAATGGAGAACGGCCCAAAGCCTTGGGATCCTGCACCTGTGTGGGAGATTCAGAGGAGGCTCCTGGCTTCAGACCTGGCTCAGCTCCAGCCACTGCGGCCTATTGGGGAGTGAATCAGCATATGGGCATATGGAAGATCTTTGTCTCTCCTCCACTCTTTCCAACAAAAAGCAAATCTTGAAAGAAGAAAAACAGGAATGTTTCTCAAGTTTCTAACATTGTTTTTCGACATTCCGTCAGGTGGTCTATATGACACACAAAGGCAGGTGGGAGAGCAGCCCCTATTGTAGCCCAGGGAGTCAAGCAAACCCCTACCTGCAATCCCCAACTATGTGACTGTGAAGCCCCGCCACCAGCCAGTCACACGGGAGACTCCGATGCAGTCCCCGACTGCTTCAGCCTGGCTGCTGCAGCCATCTGACGAATAAACAGCAGATGGAAGATCTGCTTCTACTCTCTTTCTTAGTCATTCTGCTCTTAAATACGTTTTAAAAATGCTGAAAAGCTAATATATTTAGAAAACACAGGGCTTAGTAATTCCTTGGGTTTGTACTTAGTTAAGTCCAAGGACACTGGCAGCTGAGGAGCTCAGGTGGCACCTGTCTCTGCAGGCACGGAAGGTGGTGGCTGGTGACGCAGACGGCACACCAATGGTCGGTCCCACACAAAGCTTGCGAAGATGCTGACAGTGCAAGGCTGGCCAGCTGCAGCCTTGGGCCTTGGGGACCTGGGCTAGGCGTCTGGCCAGGAGTGCCAGCGCAGAAGAGAGGGCAGGAAGGCAGCAGAAGTGGCACCTGCATCGAGAACCCCAGTTCCCTGGGCCTTCCTGAGGACTGGGGTAGCAATTTTGATTTTAAGCACCAAACAGAGCCTACCAGCATTTTAAAGCAGTAAATCATTGGGTTCAGCAGTTCCTGGGGTACAATCAGGCTTTCAGCTGGAAGCTTCCTCCCACCCCGACATGGGGCGCTGACTGCCAACTACAGGTCTCTGGGGTCTCAGACCGCTCTGTCAAGTACACGACCTTGTCAGTCACCAAAGAACCTTCCTTCTCTCTGTCTCGATGCAGAGTTCCAGGGGCAAAGAGAGAGACCTTCGGAGCAGGAAGTGGGACAGCTGGGACTGCCAGGGTCACAGGTGGAGGGTCAACCTCCCACCAGCATGGCCTGAGGGCTCTTCAGCTCACACCAGTGAACAAATCCCAATCCACGCTGTGGAAGGCAGCAAATCCCGCACAGCTAGGCAAGGTGTTCAGAGCTATGGCATTTCTCACAATGCTTAGGAGTATTTAAAGGGGGAGGTGGGAAGGAGAAAGGCACCAGAGGCTTTAAAAGGTTTATTAAAATACCCAAGGTCACAGTGGCCTAGGACCAACACTGCCTCCCTGTGGCAGAGACGTCTACAACAACGTGGGTTTGTGTATGTGGTGTTTGGCTTTTTTGGTTTTGAAAACCCAGTAGTCAAGAGATGGCCCAAACCTCCACCATTTCCCAAAGGGACCAAGACACTTTTGCCATTTCGGTAATTTTAACATGTGCCGTCACCACGGACCAAGGTCCAAGGTGCCCATTCGGCGCTAGGCAACCACCCGCTCCCTAGGTGCATATAAGGAAGAGGCAAAAGGAGCAACGACAAGAACCCGTGAGGGCGCTCCTCGTGGCCAGAGCGCAGCGCTTCCCCAACAGCAGCAGCCTTATCCCAAGGCAGATGGACAAGCAGGTGCCCAGCTATGGCAAGCCAATCTCTTGCACACCACCATCACCACCCCCGTCTGTCTCACACAAGAACCCTAAGAACAAAATGAGCTGGGAAGGTGACACACACACACACACACACACACACACACACACACACACACACACACACACACACACACACACACACACACACACACACACACACACACACACACACACACACACACACACACACACACACACACACACACACACACACACCAGACCGCTAACCTACAAAGGCCTATTTAAATAAAACAAAAACAGGAAGCCCATTGTGGCGAGACGCTGGCCGCCCTCCCCCGCGGAGGTCACCTGCGCCCCTGCGCACTTGCGCCGGAGGCTCAATGTCACCTTCACCGGGCCGCCCAGAGGTCGCCGCCGGGCAGCGGGGCAGGGCCGGACACTCCGGGACACGACCACGGGGCAGGGGCCGGGACACGACCACGGGCAGCGGGGCAGGGCCGGACACCCCGGGACACGACCACGGGCAGCGGGGCAGGGCCGGACACCCCGGGACACGACCACGGGCAGCGGGGCAGGGCCGGACACCCCGGGACACGACCACGGGCAGCGGGGCAGGGCCGGACACCCCGGGACACGACCACGGGCAGCGGGGCAGGGCCGGACACCCCGGGACACGACCACGGGCAGCGGGACAGGGCCGGACACCCCGGGACACGACCTCGGGGCAGGGGCCGGACACACCGGGACACGACCACGGGCAGCGGGGCAGGGCCGGACACCCCGGGACACGACCTCGGGGCAGGGGCCGGACACTCCGGGACACGACCACGGGGCAGGGGCCGGGACACGACCACGGGCAGCGGGGCAGGGCCGGACACACCGGGACACGACCATGGGCAGCGGGGCAGGGCCGGACACACCGGGACACGACCACGGGCAGCGGGGCAGGGCCGGACACCCCGGGACACGACCATGGGCAGCGGGGCAGGGCCAGACACCCCGGGACACGACCACGGGCAGCGGGGCAGGGCCGGACACCCCGGGACACGACCACGGGCAGCGGGGCAGGGCCGGACACCCCGGGACACGACCACGGGCAGCGGGGCAGGGCCGGACACCCCGGGACACGACCACGGGGCAGGGGCCGGCACACGACCATGGGCTACGGTCGCCGGGCCGGGGCAGCGCTGTGCGCCCCCCGGGAGACCCGCACACCTGGCCGGTCGCGGAGGTCGCGCCCTCCCGTCCTCCCGGTCCTCGGCTCCCGGCGGCGGCGCACACGGCCAGCAGGCTCGGTCAGCGGAGGCTAGGCCGCCGAGGAGCCCGGCCCAGGTCACCGCAAGGACACGCGGCCGCGGGCGGCGGGGGGACCTTACCGGCGGCAGCGCCGGGAGCCGGGGCCGGGTGCCCGAGGAGGCCTCGCGGTGCGGCTCGGACGGCCGCGGCCGCGGCGCAGCGGCGGAGAGCGGAGCCCAGCATGACGGCGATGGCGGCGCGCGGCGGGGCGCAGGGCAGCCGGCGGGGAGGCGGGCGGGCAGCTCCGGCGCGGCGGCGGGGAACGGGCGCACCCGACGCACGCAGCGACGCACGGCGTGCGAGGCGCGCGGGCCGGCCCTCGCCGCGAACTACGGCGGCGCGCTGAGGACACACGCCCTGAGGAGAGAGGACGCCGGCAAGGTGAGGATCGGAGTTCGAGTCCCTGGCCCAACCGGAAGGCCCGCTTCCTCTTATCTTCGCATCACCCTCAAAAATGGGGATGGTGGGCCCGGCGAGGTGGCATAGCGGCTAAAGTCCTTGCCTTGAATGCGCCAGGATCCCATAGGGTCACTGGTTCTAATCCTGAGCAGCCCTGCTTCCCATCCAGCTCCCTGCTTGTGGCCTGGGAAAGCAGTCGAGGACGGCCCAAAGCCTTGGGACCCTGCACCCGCGTGGGAGATCCCAGAAGAGGCTTCGGGCTCCTGGCTTCAGATTGACTCAGTTCCGGCCATTGTGGCTGCATGGGTAGTAAAAGCACAGAAGGAAGATTTTCCTGACTGTCTCTCTTCCTCTCTCTCTATATGACTTTGCAATTAAAAAACAGCGACGGTGGATATGCTTACACTAAAAATAGGAGCACAGACGGCAGAAACAGACTCAGAAGCTTTTTGTTTGCGGGTTTGTTTGTTGGCTGGCTGGCAGGGCTCCTCTAGGAAGCTTCCTCCTGGCCTTATTGTCACTAACAGCCACCTGTCGTGAGTCCCTGGGTATCAGGGGCTTTTCCCAAGCTGGAACTGGCTTGATGCTGCCCAGAGGTAACAAGGCTTGTCCCACTGATCTTGGTCCTGTCCTTAACCCCTGAACCCAATGAGGAAAGGAAAGATAGAGTTGGGGCCCCCTTTCCTCCGGTTGCTCAGGGCTCAGTGTGATGGCTCAATGGCTAGATCCTCCAGCTCACGCTCTCTCCCACTTGGGCCTGCTGTGTCTGTCAGTGTTCCTTCCTACTAGTTTAGCTGTAGGATGTGAACCTGCCTGAGTCAACGTGAAGGTGTATTTGATAGCCTCGCACCTACCCACCCTGCTCCCACCGAAGGCAAAGGACATTTGGGTCACTTACTGTCCAGGAAAGCCCTTTCCTAGCCGGCAGCCCTCCCACGAGCGAGAAAGCACTGGATTGTATTTTGACGGAATCCCAGTCCACTGTACTGTAGGAGTTTTATTTACATATTTACTTATATATCTATTTATTTTGTTGAAAAGGCACAGTTAGGGGAAGAGCCAGAAAGGAAAAGATGTCTTCTACCTCTTGGTTCACTCTGCAGGATGACAGGGAGCCAAGCACTGAGCCATCCTCTGCTCCTTTCCCAGGTGCATTAACAGGAAGCTGAATGGCAAGCAGGGCAGCCAGGACTGGGATCGCCGACACTCCCTAGATGGGATACCAGGGGTCGGGGGTGGTAGCCTAGCGGCTAAAGTCCTCAGGTTGCACGCACCAGGATGCTATATGGGTGCCGTTTTTTAAAAACACATATGTATATTTTATTTATATTTTTAAATAATCTTACTTAGTTGATTAGGGTACAAAGGGTCAAGGGCTACAGGAAAGTGGGTAATACCATTGTTTCCATACTAATATCATTTTTTTCTCATGTATCTGGAGTCAGGGGAGAAACAAAGGGAAAAGCCCCGCCCAGCCTCCCACCCATCCCAGGTCCCCGACGTGGGGCACGCTCTGAGGGTCCTGCTCAAGCAGTTTTGATAGTTCAACAGGTCTGAATTGCTGCCAATTTTGCCGTTCTAATAATGATGAAACCTATTCAGAATCCACTGGCTGACATAGTCCCTTCATGGTTGGGGTTCTGAGATCAGCAGTTCAGTTGGAGGGATCTCCAGAGAAACTTCATCTGATATGATCCCAAACCTGATTCTTGTGTGTGTTTGCCAGTGCAGGGTCTGGCACAGTCCGTTGCGCCCCAGTCAGCTTATGCACATGCTGGTGGTTGCAATTGTTGGGTCAGTTCTGTTTCCAGTCCTGTCTTCCATTGAACCAATGGGTGTTGTAGTCCAGCTTGATCCTACCCACTTCCCACTCGGTCCTCACGCAAACCAGTGGAAGCTGCAGCCTAGTTGGGGCAACTCCCCATAACCCCCACCAGGCCGGCTCCCTACCCTGGTTGCCATACTTGCCAGTATGTACCGCAGGCTTGTTCAGTCTGTCCCAAGTCTCATTAGTTCTCGTAACTGTTAATGGGTATTGAAGCCTAGTTCAACCCAACCAACCTACTATCCAACCCACACACATACTCTGGCAGGTGCCTTTCTATCTATCCACCCCTGCCCCTGGCCTGGTTTTCATGCTCTCCAGTGGGAGTGGTTAGTTGATTAGGGACACTGTCTCCCTACTAGGCCACTCCAACTTCCAGATTATGCACTCTCCAAGTGGTTTTGGCATTTAACTTAACAGAATTAGCCCCCAGTGTGAGCCTCTGCCAGCTGATGATGTGGCAAAGCCCAACCAACTCTTACTCACTCTAATTTTTGCTTGCTTGCATCAGTTGGAACAGTTAGCCCAATCTGGCCCTTTCCCAGTCTAGCTCACATGAGGCCCACAGGTGCTATAGCCCTGCCTGGTCTGTTCTGCCCCCATCCCAACTCATGCTCTCCAATGGGAGTGGTTGTCCAGCAGGGAAGCCCACATTTCCCTGTCGGCTTTGCCTCCTTCCCCCCGCCCCCCGCCCCAGTTCTCACGTGTGCTGTTTGGGCACTGCAACCACATCTGGTATGGCTCACCTCACCTTGGCATTCCTTAATGTACACTGGTTTGTGTTGCAACTGAAACTGGCCTGACCCACACTCTATGCTGGTGCTCAGATTCACCAGCGGTTGATGTGAACGGGTTCAGCCTGGTCTGCCCCCTATGTCATATGTATGATGGTGGGTATCTTCCTCTGGCCTGGTCTGGGTTGCTCCATATCGTGGTTCTTGCACTCACCTGTAGGGACTGTGTTTCGACAGAGGAGTTTCCCAAGTTCCTTCTTCAGAACCTCTCCCTATGCCAGGTCTTCCACATACTGGTGGTTCCATGGGTCAGCCCTCATTGCTAACCTTCCATCCATTCCAGTTCTTGGTGTTGGCTGTTTCATCCCAACCAAGGCTTATCCATACCCAGACACTGCTCACATATGGCTCGGTAGGGGCAGAGACCCAGCCTAGTCCGTCCTGCATCTACCCAGGTTCTCCAGAACACCAGATGGTGCTGGTGTCCTAGCTTGGTGCGCCCAGCCCCCGTCCACACTTGTGCCTAGGGAGATTGCAGCCATATCCAGACCAGAACGCAGCCCCCACTCCAGCCCCCTGTACCCTCCCATGGGAATCCCAACTCAGCAAGGGTGCACTCACACAGCTCCCCAATCAAGTCTATTCCCAACCCTAGATTGCGCGCGTGCCAGTGGTTGTTCTGACCCAGTTGGCTTAGCCCCTCACCTGTCTCAGCCTTTGCCTTCAATGCTGTGCTGTAGTATCCCTGCCTCATGAAGACCAGCTGGGGTAAGAGCCTAGGTCGGAATGACATGTGCTCCATCCTGATTTCTTTTCGTTTTTTGTGAGTTGAGGTTTGCTTGGCCCTGCCCAGTCCGCCCCCTTCCAGTTGCAGCTTGGCCCACCACACATCCTATTTTAGGATGCACATTCGGGTGCTGCTGCCTTGACCTGCCCAGATTGCCATCGGTTCCTTTACCTGTAAGTGATGGCAGGTGCCATGGTCACTCCTAGCTTAGCCCATCGCCACCCCAACTCACGAGCTAACCTGTGGGATTTTTATTTCCACAGGGTTGGGCCAATACTTCCCCCACAGAGTTTACCCCTGGACCAAGTTCTCTCGCGTGCTGGTTAGTGTCTTGACCCTGCCAAATGTGACCAGTCCACTATTCCCCCACCCAGTCAAGTAATGGTACCTAGCCCTACCAGACAGGCCCCCATCCATAGCTTTGGTGTGGACTGGTGTGTGGCAGTCAGTGATGCTCTAGGTTAACAGCCCATTTTAGGATTCCTAATTTGGCTAGTGAATCAGTCTGGCCCAAATAGATCTTATGGACACTCCCTTCAAACCATCAGGTCTCAGTCTCCATGCTTGCCCGAAAGTTTCATGACCCTGTTACTAGGAATCACCCAGCATTCATCTCTCACCTACATTAAAACTGGCCTTATTCATGGGTGTCCCTAAGCAGCAATTTCATATCCTAAAAACCCCAGAGCTCGCCGCTGGGCAGCCAGCAGGCAGAGCCTGACACCATTTGGTGCACGGGCTGCCCAAAGCCAAGGACTCAGCCACTGCCGTTCCACAGTGGCTTTGGCTTGAGTCCCCAGCTTTTGGATCCAGCTGGGTAGGGGCACCCCCACAGCTGCCACACTGCAGGAAGCTGCAAGCCGCCCCCAACCCCAAGGCCTGGACTCCCTGGGTGCCGGTTTTAATCCTAGCTACTCTACTTCACATCCAGCTCCCTGCTTGTAGCCTGGGAAAGACAGTCGAGGACGGTCTAAAACCTTGGAACCCTGCACCTGTGTGGGAGACCCAGAAGAAGCTCCTGGCTTCAGATTGACTCAGTTCTGGCCGTTTTGTGGCCACTTGGGGAGTGAACTAGCACATGGAAGATCTCTGTCTCTCCTCCTCTCCGTATATTTGACTTTCCAGTAAAAATAAACAAATCTTTGAAAAAGATGGGGCAACCAAGGTTTTGAGCAATGGCTTGACCCATGGCACCACAGCATCAGCCCCAGAACTGTTTTCTTAAACACAATTACTAAATACTCCCGTGTGAGGCCCATCATGAGTCACTTGGATCTTGTGCTTGCCTCAGGGCAGCCTTGTGAGGTAAGTCTTACAAGACAGACTGAAAGGATACTTGCCCCTGGTCACAACTGATTTCAGCTCTGTCTAGTCTAGTCTGATTCCAGAAGTTTCTTCCCCCTGCCAGTGGCTGGGATGACCCAGCAGTGACCTCCACCCTTCCTCTGTGTGTTGGCTTTCCTTCC